CCTTCATCTGCTACTGGATATTTTATACATGTCATAGTTTGAAATTTCAAAAATGTATAATTACATTCAATAGCACTCAAATTCTAAATGTATTTGGTGAGTTTGAAAATGGTGTCATTTCTTAAATATATGATATTAAATTTCTGCCTCCAACATATTATATGCAAATACTTAATACGGAATGTGGGAAGGAACCATAGCAAATTGAGATCACAAAGGCAAAAAACCTGTCGACATTTGCTAAGCATTTGCCACATGCGCAAATCGCTTCATGTCTGCGGTGACAAGCACTAGGCACAATGTTGAATGCAGCGCCTCGATCTGGACTTCTTTTTAGCAATACCCTTGCAAGTTAGTCGACCTACTGGTGCTGTATACAATCTTGGAGCCGGTATACTATGCCTGAGGCGAGCAGATCAGTCGCTGACGCAACGTCAATGCCACACTCGGTGTCATATTCTTATGTCAAAACGTCACATCCAGAGCTTAGCTTGTGCTCAAAGCGCTAGAAAAACAGTGAAGTCAGTGAAGCTTACTCGGCTGGTCCTCATCAGGCGCGTTCAATCTGCGCGGGTGCCTAGGTATTCAAACCTATATCATTTCCCCCCTGGGCTCTTACGATTACGAGGACGATCACCGTTCTGGACCTATGGCTGTGCGCTCATTCTGGAACTCTCCACGACCGTCTTGGGTTACCGAGGTCCGCGACTACTGAACCCGGGTACTTGTATTCATCCGAATTGCTGGCGACTCGCGGAATGAATTGTTTCCCCACGTGTCCTGTGATTGATTTCAACCGCTGTCGCCACCGTCGGGTTTTAGACGCTGTAATGCCGTCCGACCTTGACGGATGTGATGATTGCCCTGGCCTGGAAGGGCAATGTACCGCCCAGGCTTTGTGCTGTTCCTGGATCATAAGGTACTACGAGGTCTTCGCTGACATCTCTCGGGAGCACTGGCAGGTAGCCCTTGAGAGCTTTCTCTAGCGACGGTTCTTTTGGCAGCCTTTACGCCGCTGTGGTCGTCCGAAGCCCTGATACTCTCTGTGGTGCTCATCTATAGGCACGTTATGCCCTCTGAGCATGTGTTCTTTCCAAGATCCACGAGAAGTGCTCTCGATAATACCTGGTGTCTTGCTGTCTTACCGGAACAAGCCCGCTCTTTCTGACCCTGTGCTCTCTGAACCTTAGCCTGCCTCATAGTACAAGAGTATGCATCAGAATAACTGTCGGTGTCCCTTTCTGTTCCTTGCCCTCACTCTTTGATCCACCCTGATTTTTCGGGATTTGTCAATCCTTTCCCCAGCTCTTGCTTGTTGTCAGCTGCAGGCATTGCTTGTACACGGAGCACCGTGCTGGCTACGGTCAATATAGGTCCCCTCATGGATTGGACCGTGCGTTCGACCGATCATGGTTCGGAAAGGGACCTTTCGGACTTTGTGAATGCCGTTCGCCGTGATTTCGATTCGAGCGACGAGTCTGCCTCTGCCTACTGTGCAAGCGAGTGTAGCTCGTCCGATTTGGAGGAGCAATCCATTTCCTCGAAGAGGCAGGACCTGGCCAGCTACCTGTCCTCAACTACCACTCGACACATCGAGGAAGATCCTGAGGATAAAGGTCAAAGCCTCGGCGGCTTCGACGACGACGACGACGACGACATCTCAGAAGAACCTCAATGGAGATGTCTATCATATGTGCGGCATCAGCTGCTGTCGCTGTATCGCAGGATTTTCGGCATCGTTTTCGTGGTCAATATGGGGGTTTTCATCTCGTATGCCATCAGGGGTGCAGATGCGAAGCAAATCGGCACGGTCGTGGTTGGGAACCTATTCACCGCCGTAGTCATGCGGCAAGAGTATGTTATAAATGCGTTCTTTACTGTGGCTTGTCTCGCTCCCCGAAGGTGCGGCCGCGCTCAGTGCGACTGGTTTGCTTTGTTGCTGATTCCGCTGCCAGTTGGCCACTGGCGATCCGTCGCACGCTGGCCCATGTCTACTCCATCGTAGGAAGTAAGCACATTCGTACTATGTTACCTATCGTGCAAACGAAATAATGGCCTCTGGACAGTTCACTCTGGAGCCGCAGTCAGTGGCACTGTCTGGTCGGCGCTTTTTGTTGGCAAGGCCACTCGTGAGGTAATGAGTGAAGGGAAGGCTAGTATCATGTGCATATAACAGCCTGTCCGTGCGATTGACCTGAACAACAACCCCTCTAGACTGCTCTCCGCACTTTGGTCGTGTCATACACTATTCTGGCGCTCCTTGTGATGATATTGGTACTTGCGTACCCAAAGTTCCGTACCAGACATCACGATGTATTCGAAATGGTACACCGCTTCGCTGGATGGGTCGCGGTCGCTCTTGTATGGGCTCAGGTATGGCTATGGCTCCACCAATACGACGCATCAGTAATACGTTGAGCTAGGTTGTTCTCCTAACCAATGACTACCGTACATCCGACGAACCGCTTGGATACGCCCTTGTACATTCGGCTACTTTTTGGCTCGTCATAGTGCTAACAAGCTCAATCATCCTTTCATGGCTGAGGCTGAGAAAAGTGCCTGTACGTGTGGAGGCGCTGTCCGATCACTGTGCGCGGTTCTACTTCAACTATGGTAACTATAACCATGTTCGACCATAAGTTGCCGTGTTAACGTCCCATTTTATCTGTAGTGGATACGAAGCCTGGACACTTTACCCGAATGTCAACAAATCCTTTGTTTGAATGGCACTCATTCGCCACAATCAGAGAGCCAGGAAAGAGTGGTTATTCCTCTGTCATTTCCAGGGCGGGAGACTGGACAAGCAAACAAATCGAGAACCCACCTGACAAGATTTGGGTCCGCGGTATCCCTTGTTATGGTGTTGTGAGCGTCACTCCTCTCTTTCGACGAGTGGTCATGGTGGCCACCGGCAGCGGTATCGGCCCTATCGCCCCGGTGATATTCGCCAAACGCACGGAGATACAGCTTCTATGGGTTGCCCCTTCTGTGAGGCAGACCTTTGGTGACAAACTTGTGGATTCGCTCCTCAATGCGTCGCCTGGATCTGTAATGTATGGTGAGTCATAAGTCATCTTTCTCTTTCAAATATTGAAGGTGTTATCGCAGATACTCGTACTCATGCTGGTAGACCTGACTTGATCCAGTTGACGTACCGTATGGTGCGCGATTTCCAAGCAGAGGCTGTAGTTATCATATCGAACCGGTCGTTGACGGAGAAGGTTGTCTATGGGATGGAGAGCCGGGGAATTCCCGCCTACGGCGCCATTTGGGATTCTTGAAGTTGGAGCATTTAAGAACTTGGCATTACTTATATTTTTTCCGAACTCGTTGCTATGAAGCTGTCGACATCCCTTCAAACATCACGATCTTTTGTTCAGCTTCGTTGTTTTACTTCGGCTGTCAGGGTGTTGATGCGTTCAACAACAACTGTGTGTCGGCGCTTATCTACTAGTAGGTTCAGCGCGTCACGATTATTCCTGCACCTTTGTACTTTCGTCAACTACTCTGCCCGCCTACCACCCCATCGTGTGTAACAAATGGAACAAAGTGTTTCTCGTGAAGTTTGTCTAGAGCATCATCCAACTGCTAGAAACAAAGCAGTAGCTGCGAGATCGCTGAATGCAGGTTCTGTGATCATCACTGTCCCAGCGCTGTCTTCTGTTCTGTACCAGTCCGCGAAGGGACAAAGATGTGACGCTTGTCATAGGTTGTCGTCATCGACAGACCGCCTACGGAAGTGTACCGGATGCGCCGGCTACTGGTACTGCGGGACGGAATGTGAGTATGATAGCCACAATCACAGCTCGATCCTGACGACTGACTTGATGAATGTGGATCCATTGACAGGCCAGACGAAACAATGGAAGGCGCACCATAGAATAATATGTAAAGAACTCAACCGCTACCTCACATCCCCTGAATACCAAAGCATGTCGGAACATGACCGAGTGGACGCGTTGCTCGTTTCGCAGCTGTTTGCACAATTCTTTCCTAATGGCCAGGAAGAACGCGTTCAGGACGATCAATTCTCCACTTTCATGGATCTTATGAAAAGCCCTGCACGCCGTCAGTGCCCACCTCTCTGCATTAAAAGAGGAACATTGTCAGCCTCGCAAGCCAAGGCACAAGATTTGTATGATCGCTTCGGGAACAACAATTTCATCCTCCATTCACACTTGAATTCGTATGCCCATGGCATCTTCCCTCAAGCAAGCAGACTCTTCAATCACTCTTGTATGCCTAACGCTGTCGCTAAGTACATAATCACTCCCTCCGAGCCTGTCAGAATGGACGTCATAGCTCTGCGAAATATCGTAGAAGGGGAAGAGGTCAGTTCAGATATCCGGTCTGCACCCGTGCTACTACCTTCGTATTGCTGAGGCGGCTTCTTGCTAGATTACTCTGCCGTACCTCGATCCTGCCCTCCCTTCCAATGTTCGCCAAGAGGCACTCCGATCGAATTACGGATTCGCTTGCAAGTGCGACCTCTGCTCCGTTACGAATGTTGCATCACCGATTGTTCCTCCCCCAAGGGGATCCGAAGAGCTTGAGAATATGGAGATAGCACTCCACATTTTCATCTTCGGCACACCAGGAGGCACCATCCATATTCCGCGAGGCACTAATTACTATCGTACAATGCCGGACACGCTGACTCCGCTATTGCATGAATCGTACTTGCCCGCCATTTCAGAGATCTTCAGTCGAGCTTCACACGAAGGACAGTATGAAGAGGCCCTTCATGTTGGTCCTCCGCTGCTAGCGCTATACTTTCTGAAATACCCACTCAATTATCCTCAAATCGGTGAGTTGTATTGCTGTTATCATGTTGAACACATAATAAATATCCTTGCACAGGAATGCATGCCCTCGAGCTTGCTAAGACTGCATGGAATGCAATCGTGATGAATGTGCCGACGTCGTCACGAGATGATGTCCAAGCTTATCTCGCCATAGCCTCGCAAGTCCTGAACAATCTTGGTCCAGAGGGAGACGGAGATGGACCATTAGAGGAGCTCCGTCTCCTCAAACAAGCTTTGGGGGAGAACGTTTAAGCACCTTAACACAGGCCTGCGATCCGTCATGAAGGAAGGTCCATGCGGAAAGGCGACGCCGGCGATGACATCGCGTCGCGGTTGCGGCCAAAGCACCTTGCCTGTCAGCCTGCCCATGCAGAATATCCCATTTGTCTGTCATTTTAGCTTCCGGAAGGCTTTCATGTTTGAATCAGTCTTCCCACGTACTGCGGCGTGTGAAGCACCGCCTCGCACGCGAAGGCATATGGAACTCGCGCTGAAGAGATGGAAGCTCGCTAGCAGCGGGATCGGCGATTGTGCGGAAATAAAGGATATCAAACCCTGTCGTGTCACCTCCATTTGCGACGCCGGATGCTGATCCCCTCAGCGGGTCGGACGTATTGTCGTGGCAGCTGAGCGTCAAATGCTCAAAGTATGCCGCTGGACTGCAATGACACCGCAGCTCGCGCGGCACCCCGTCTGGTTAAGCAAGCGAGGGTACAACATCATGCTTATGCACAGCATAGTCGCAGACGTTCTGCGGGTGTCACAAGATGCCTGGGTCACAGACATGTGCGAGAATAGTTCACATTTGCCAGAGTGTGCGTTCGATAACGTCACATCAATTTCTTCTACCGCCGCTTGCCTGCCCGAAGCGCAGCGATGCGCAGCCAACACCCCCGAGTCCGGGAAGGATTTTTTCGAATCCTTGATACGCGTCCATTGCAGTCGCGTACGAAGCAATGGTATCAGTGAAGCGAGATTGCTGTGAACCGAATAGTACAGCCTTCCATCTTCCGTATGCTGTGTATTGCGATTCCATGCAGCCGTAAGAAGAGGATTAGCATTTGGCCAAGAGTATCGAAGCTGATTACCCTTACGTTCTGCGCTCAACGCCTGTGAGCAATGGAATAGCGGTCATAACTTTTGCTCTCGTATAACTGCGAAAGCCGACGTTGCTCATGTGTTGCCCTTCGACCCTGAGACGGCCAGCCTCTCTCTTTGGCGTTCGTCTTCGCTCCTTGACGGCCGTCGTGATCTCAGCGACCAAGCACCCGATGTCTACTCGCCATTCATTCCTTTCGACAACCGGCCTCATCAGAGCGCCATCAGATGCGTCGAGCTCCAAAACGCGCCGACCTGCCAAGTTCGGCGGCACAAAGCCTGGACAGACGCCTCGCAACAAGGCACGACTGACTAGGATCCAAGCTGGCATCATCCCTCTGAGCGTGCCTTTCCTCGTGGGGATGGTCATCGCATTTTCGTTGATATTCATTGTGTCCATCTCCTGTGCCTTCATAGGGTCTGATGACGACGAGCCTCCCTTCAGAGAGCTTCTGAACAGTGTTGCGAAAAATGATCCCGGTGTCAGCTCTTTACCTAAGTGTTACGCATGGCCTGTTGAGCTCACAGGGTTCGTATCGCAGATCGTGCTCATCGGCGACAATGTGGACGTCGATGTGGATGAGCCTGCAATCACTATCCGTTGGTCAATCGTTGGCTGCGGCTCTGCCTATATCCTTCCTGGATCTGAAGGGACGCATGGCAGCGACCTATGCGGATTGCCCTCGCTGGCACTGGATATCTACGTCGATAGGTAAAATCTTGGAGAAAAGGTGCAATTAATTCAAGGGTTCGCTCACGTCCTATGTAGCTCTGAGGATCCGGCCGTGACCTACGATCCCGCACAGTTCCCAATAGTCAACGGGACGGGACAGCGGATTAGGTCAGTCCATTGCAATACTCACTTGCATCTGCATCAGTTAAGCGCTGCTGCTTCCCATTAGCATCCAGAACCTGTGTCAATTCGACAGCGATCACGTCCTCGATGTCCACCTCGCGAGATTGTACCCATTTGACACCTATCTCCTGACCAGCACTCTTCGCGCAGTCAGCGCAGAGCATAGCGATCCAATGGGGATAAGGGCCCTGACAACGTTGCAACTGACGTCAAGCTTTGCCATCTCTTCGACCGACGTGAAGAGTTACATGAACAACTCGGACAACTGGTACGAGCCGACGCGTGATATAACGCTGAAGATCAGGAGACCTGCAGAGGCGAGATTGTTTGCCATGATGCTGTTCGGCATCAACTGGATGCTGGCACATGCCACTTGGTGCTTTGTGGTGCTGGCATGGAGGCTCAAGAGCGAGAGGAATATACTACGATATTTTGCAATCGTGGTCGTGATACTATTCGCTACTCCGCAGCTCAGAAATGCAATGCCGGATGCTCCTGGTCTCGATGGTGAGTGATACACAGCCAGCCAAGTGGTTTGCGCTTACCGTACACAGGTGTTCTGCTAGGTATATATTGACAAGTCAGCAGTCCTTAAGCAGCAAATTACTGACGGTGAAAATACACACCAGACAGTATTGGGTTCTTCCCACAGATGCTGTCATCTGGTGTCTCAGCTATCGTCCTGTTGGTAATGGCTGCCAACAGAACACTGCAGACGGATGACGACCCTCAAATGCAAGGAACTGAAGTAGCGCTTCATCGCCTTTCAAAAGGCCTAGGAACGCTACGGCGACAGGGATCATCCATGGATTTCAGTCATCTACGAAGTTGGAGCCAATCTGCATTTAGGTCTACAGTCCGGGTTGCGGAAGACGACTGAGTAGTATAGACATATGTACAATGAAGCCACTCACCTTGCTCACGGACTACCGGACATTGCCAATGCGCGAATTTTTGTAGATGTAGATCAAAGCTCTGACAGAGCCGTGCCAAGCCACCTTTGTTATTTTTGTCGGACTCCATGTACTGGTCATGCTGTCTTGTTGTTTCGGGCACATATCAGATATCGGACGGAGGAGTCTGTACAACGCACACGACTCAGCTGCAGCACGGAGTCAAGCAAGTCATGTCCGAGCTATAGGAGCGTCAATGAAGACACGTGCTGATGGCATCAAAGGACACGTTTAATATGATTATGAGCGCTAAAGCTCTCGTCCTCTCTCGTTAAGTCCCAACGTTTCCGCGGCTCGACGCTCGTCGCTCAGGTTATTTCGTCAAGATGCCAGTCGGTATCGAAGCATGGGTGACACAGATCCCTCCTGTAACGCGAACATGGCTTGCTCTGGCAGTAATGATGAGTCTAGCTGTCGTGAGTACGTTGTCTCCTCGATTGGGCCCCGTCAGATTCTGATTACTCGCAGCAATGCCAACTTGTCACGCCGTTACAGCTATACTTCAGCTTTAAGGCAGCCTTTACGAATTTTCAGGTGAGTGCATATTTGGTTTAGCAAGCGGCTTGATCGTTGAGGAGTTGTCGTGACACAGCCGTGGCGAGCATTGACTACATTTCTCTATTTCGGCACATTGTCGCTGGACTTCGTGTTTCACATGTTCTTCTTGTAAGCTACGAATCTATTCTAATCTATGTCGTAATGCGCTGACGTGCTCTATACAGTATGCGCTACAGTCGCATGCTAGAAGAGTCATCGTTCGCGAACCGAAAAGCAGACTACTTCTGGTTGCTCTTTCTTTCTGCGCTAATGCTTCTGGTGAGAATCGGTATTGTCTAGAATGTGCCCTATTCATGACGCACTCCGCAGGCATTGTCACCGCTCGTGAACCTCCCTTTTCTCTCCTCGCCCTTAGCGTTCGTGCCGATCTACCTTTGGTCTCGTCGGCATCCATCAACACCAATATCGCTGTTCGGCCTCGTTACGATAACCGCTCCTTATCTTCCTCTGGCCTTAGTAGGCCTCGCATGGATGCTGAATGGTACATGGCGAGCAGCAGCTGGCGACCTCGTGGGTTGCGCTGTTGGCCACATAGGGTGGTTCGTAAGAGACGTTTGGACCCGAGAGATGGTAGGCGGGCCGACAATCTTCAGCGAAGCGCCACTCGCACTGTATGTAATCTTGGTTCGATCTCAGCTCATGCTGACAATAGGCACAGGAAACGCCTGTTTGGGGATATCTGATACTGCGTCGTGTACTCGTACGCTAATACTGTGCATTGATGTGATCAATCATTTTTTAAGCTCCCCATCGCCGTGAAATTTTCGGTTTCCGTGCGCCGACTGTCTGGCACATTCAAGGCGTGATTAGAATGGGGATGCATTTCTCGTGCCTGACAATTACAGAACGCCGACTCCAATAGAACAAGCGAAGTGAGAATGGTGCGTGCGTGCGTGTGTCAATCTTCTCGTTCAACTGTTCATCCATGCCATGCGCTGCAGCAAGCGCAAATCAACGCTTGTAAGCCAAGATCAAGTCGAATAAGAAGCACGTTGGTGATGGTGTATACGGCTTTAATGTTGGCGCCTAACAAGTGACTGACACTCCCTACCCTTCCTATACTACCCAGAAACCCAACGTTGATATTTTCAATCTTGCAGCATTGCAGACAGGAGCTCCTGACGCTCTTGTGGCTCGTCCAAGCCTGCGGGCGTACACCATAGATGCATAGGACACCGTGTCCTCCGATGTCAAGGGTGAAACATCTGGAGCATAGAGCAGAAACGGGGCGGCTTCTGATCTGGTGCACCATCTAACTTTCGGGTAGCTGGGCGCCATTGGCTCGTTGAATGATGCTATTATTGCTTACTGGAGATGCTTGCAATCTCTAGTAGTTTCGCTATCTGGATGCGCACCAACGTGCACCACTCGGAGCTGAGGTGGCCGGACCCGTCTGTGAGCGCTCGACCAATACCCTTGCTGCTACGACAATCATGATGCGTGGCCCTGCATGTGCAGAAGGGGGAACGAATGACGTGCGTTCGCTTGCGAGCCAATCTCTAGGAGTTTAGGGTCAAAGACACCCATTAGAAGCTAAGGACGGCCTCGGTACCGAGGGAAGGGGAGCCTCCGGCTCCGAGAGGTATTGAGTTTGCTTCTTGCATTCGAGGGGGGAATGCAATGCTTCGTAGGTCACAAACTTACTGGCATGATCCGTACTCAATTCGCACGCTTTTGTGGTGCCGAGCATGAGGTTCCACTCCATGAAATGATAACGGAGGGCGGACATGCAGATAGGCACATAAACACATGGCTAGTCGACGTCTTTGCCCTCAATGATCGCCTCCCCGTCTTCTGAAAATTTGACATCGTTCTGTAAGATGGCGACATGAGGAGCGGATATCCACCAGAAGCCTATGACAGACCTCGTGCCCAATGGACTTGCCGATATACTTGGTGTGATCTACGAAGCACAATCCCATCAAAATACGACGCGAGCACGTCTTGGCGGTGAATTGCGAACTTACGGCCATATGCTGCGAGCTGTCCAGATGCGTTGAAGAAGTCGATGCGAGTGAATGCAAGCGACTTGCCTGAGAATAGCGCATAATTCAAATATATTCGTGATGAAGGTACCAGACGTGAAGACTACGAACCCATTCCTGTCACGACAGCGCTTACCCTCAACTCATCGCCTGTACGACCGGCTGGTTTCACGAAGGACGTGCCGATGTCCACAGATACGCCAGTCATGTACTGCCCCTTCGTGGCTATAGCAAGCGATCCGATGGTGTCGGTAAGCGACATGATGAGCCCGCCATGGACGGTCTGGAAAGGACGGCTACTTAACCACGACTACGGCAACAGATGCGCTGGAACCCTTACCCCGACCCTGTTCACTGGGTTACTGAGGTATCAGAATGGCGTGTGTTGTAGAGACACAAATGCGGATGCGCCATGCATAGGTGGCAACGCACGATTGTATGGTTCTATCTTGAGCGATGCTTGCAAAACGCCGGGCTTCGCATCCAGAATCTTGAGCTGTTAGTAAACCCGTCATTCAACCTCACGTGCAGACGAGGCCAGAAGAACTGAGGATAAACTACGCACATTCGGGAAGCATTGTTGATCGTGTCCTTTGAACCACCGATTGCGCAACCAGTTGGTGGAATTGCTTCTTTTCATGAGATAGTGGAGAGCGCACCTTTGTTGTCTACAAACGACTTCCAGACCTACAACCATCTGGTCAGCAAGATCCGTCGGCCTCGGGGTAGATTGGACGAACCCGACGGGTGAAGCGCAGGCAGGCAGCCATATCAGACCGGGGGCGATGCGTGTTGATGGTGCTGTCGAGGACTTGGGCGTTAGGCAAGCCTTAGGCGCTGTAAACGCGTGCAATACGCGATCACGTGCTGACACGTGATCTCATTACAACGACGCGCCAGCCACGCGAGGCACACAGCCAACGCTACAGAGTGACAGCGCGCTGTTGGTAAGATCAAAACACGACGCTCTCGACCTTGCACCGATGGAGAAAAGGGTAAAAAAACAAACACGACGCGCCACAGACTGGGGCCTCTAGCCGACGGACGGACTCTGTGACTGGCATGAGAATGGTCGTGGCTGTCGATTACCACCGGCATGGCGTCGCCCATCGCGCTAGAAAGGACTAGAATACGCAGTGGGAAGGGCAAGATTAGGCAGGTGTTGTGCAAGATTCGCAGCTCCGTAGGGGATAACTGAAGCGGTGAGAGATCATTCAGAACAGGAGTTGACCTTGATTCTCGACTCATATTTATGTAGAATGGCGCGCAACTTGTCTTCTCTTCTCTTTGGCTGCATAATCGTGTCACGATGCTGCAAGCTGAGCGGATGACCACTGTGAGCAGCACCAGCGACTCTGTAACCCCATTTGATGCAACAAATCATCGTTCGCGAGGCATATTGCAATTTATGTACATCAACAGATCGAAAAAATAGAACCCAGAGAACGGTGTGGTATTCCCACATCCGGGCGGTGACAGTTTCGCTACTAACAGCAACCGACACGCGGCGAACGGCGCTCAAGAACCGCGATGGCATTAAAATGTCTTGCGATTAGTCAATACAGATAGCTGACTCAGTGCACAAGATTTGCGCCGATACGCATGGCACGAACTCTGATACAGCAAGTACAGACGTGTTCTCCACCAGGAACAGGGTGTATCGTTGCCCACGGATGGGTACTTCAGTAGACATTCATTCCGAATTGCTCTCATTTACAATGAATTACATGAGCTGCGCATGGCTTATGCTCAGAATGATGACAGTCTGGAGTCTGCCCATCAGCGGGATGAGGAGAACAGCGGGAGAATGCAGACTGACCGTGGTGAGAATATCGGGGTCGGCAATTGCCTGTTCATGGAGACTGCAGTGCGAGATCAAAGATGTCTGATCTTGGATTGAGACTATTGACTTGCAAGCGCCAAACTTGTACCTGCGACTCCCACATCGTCGGAATATCGTCTACCTCCATAATTCTCGCTTCTCTTTCCGAGACTGTGGGTATACCTCAAAGCCGTCTCGGCAATAACATGATGTATGACCACGTTCATGTTCACGGTGGAAGGCCGGTTCCGTGGGCAACTAGTGTTTCAAGATATCGTTTCGTGCGGACACCTCTCTGTAGACAATGCACAGCGCCACAACCGACCATTCTCCGAGGACATTTGCTCCGTGTATCGGAATAGACGCCATGGAGTTCACTCCACGCCACTAATCTGAGGCATCGGGATTGCAGTGAGTGTAGACAGCTCAACTCCGCCTACCCAAGGTTTCGTCCGCGATCTGCCCTACAGCTCCTAATCTCATCTTCCGCTAGCCTACCCGTACCATTCGGAGCCGCTTGGGAGAAGCACCGCTCAGCGCTTCTCCAGGTGCTTCTCCAATGATGGCACTTCAGCGATATCCGTCTCACACACGTTCAGGCTCGGCATTTCATATTGGGCATGTGCCTGTCCGTACTTTCACAAGAATCGAAGAGGCTGGACGATCCATTCCTGATGCCAGCGTACGTGGTGATTGACGGCCTGTACAATTACGAAGATGGTCAGTCTGTACTGGTTTGGCATCCAGGACTGTTCTCACACTGCCGGCGAAATTTAGGCCGGCGTCGTATGCTCTGCTCCACCGATACTGCGTAGGATGGGATAGAAACATCCCTCGGGCATGGCATCGGGACTGGCACCGGGACGTTCGCCTTTAGCCGTGCTCCGCCTCTCGATACGGGTGAGTGTATTTGTTAGCGCCGTGACTGCCGATACTGTTCATGCTGTGTCCTTAGTTTCTGTCACCTATTCTGACGGCATGTTATTCGTGCGTTTCCAACTGCCTCCGATAACCGGGTGGCGACCTCTGAGTTTATTTTCCTCCTGAAACTGCAGGTGCATGCGTGGATCAGTATATAAGGGGTTGGGTACGATAGGGTGAGGCCTCGTCGGATCACTGAGATTCGCTCGAACCCGCCCACCCTTCTCTCTTCGTACCGGTGCTCTCGTCCTCCATGTCAACTCCGTCGTCGCTCTCCGTCTCCGAGTCGGAGAAACCACAGCTGGCTACCACGGTCGTCGAAGAGCTCCCTAAGGACAGTGTCAAGGCTCCCGATGCTGACCACAAGGACCGGTCGAAGACGGTTGACCTCACGCAGGCGGTCGTGAAGGTCACCACCGCCCCTTCCTCGCTCTCAGACCGCAAGAGCGAGTCTTCATCTGATGCGGAGAAGGGCGAAGTTTGGGAAGGCTTCGAAGAGGATGTCCTGCCTGACAAGGAGCAGCCCAAGCTCATCCGCAACCTCCGCTTCCAGATCATGTCCCTCTACCGAAGGCTATTCGGTATCGTCTTCATAACGAACATGGGCGTCTTCATCTGGTTCTGTGCCAAGGGCGCGAATGCGAGCCAGCTCGGCAGAGTCGTGGTTGGCAACTTGTTCACCGCGATTCTCATGCGCCAGGAGTACGTCATCAATGCTTGGTTCGCTGTGGCGTGCCTTGCACCCCGATCGTGAGTTTTGTTTGACATATTCGTGAATTGATGCTGATGCATGAACTCGATTAGATGGCCGCTGTGGATTCGTCGCATTCTCGCCAGGGTCTATTCTATCGGAGGCAGTAAGTCCTATCTTTGCCTCGACAACAAGACTTTTTTTAACAGTCTTATTTCAGTTCACTCCGGAGCGGGGGTCAGCGGTGCGGTTTGGCTGATGCTTTTCCTGGGGAAAGCAACAAGGCAATTCATTGACAAGGATCACGTGAGACTTGATCATCATTCTCCCATGGTGTCGCGTATACTCAACCTGATACGCAGGTAACCGTTGGGACTATTACTGTTTCATATATGATCTTGGTACTTCTTCTTGCCATGATTATCTTCGCTTATCCGAAGTTCCGCATTCGGCATCACGACACATTCGAGATAATTCATCGTTTCGCAGGATGGGCTGCAGTCGCCCTCGTGTGGGCACAGGTGAGGGAAATTTATTTGCCAAGATGAAGCATTGTATTGATCATCTTTCAATCACAGGTTGTCCTCCTCACCAATGATTATCGCAGTCCTGGCGAGACCCTGGGCCACGCAGTCGTCCATCAACCTACTTTCTGGCTAGTCTTGATCATGTCGCTATCTATCATCGCGCCTTGGGCGCGCTTGCGCAAGGTGCCGGTGCGCTCGGAAGTACTCTCAGAGCACTGCGTGAGGCTGTACTTCGACTACGGTACGTCATGCCCCGTTTCCTGCTGTAGCGCATTTTTCTGATGTGATGAAACACACAGTGAACACCCAGCCGGGCCATTTCACACGCATGTCACTCAAGCCTCTGTTGGAGTGGCACTCGTTTGCTACTATCGCCGTGCCCGGAAAGAAGGGCTATTCGGCAGTTGTCTCACGCGCGGGCGACTGGACCAAGGAGCAGATTGGCAACCCGCCGGACAAGATCTGGATTCGTGGCATCCCCTGCTACGGTGTCGTGCGCGTCACGCCGCTTTTCAGGCGTGTGGTGATGGTGGCGACGGGCAGTGGTATCGGCCCCATCGCACCCGTCGTGTTCGCCAAGAAAACCGAGATCCAGCTCCTCTGGACTGCTCCTACAGTGCGCAAGACGTTCGGTGACGGGCTCGTCGATTCTCTCTTGGAGGCGGCGCCTGGATCGATTATCTATGGTGCGCATCACTTCAAGTTCCCACAGTAGTTTGTGTTGACGTGATTTCCTCAGATACGCGCCAGCACGGCCGGCCCGACCTGGTGAAGCTCACGTACCGCATGGTGCAGGAGTTCAACGCGGAGGCCGTGGTCATCATCTCGAATCAGCCTCTGACGGAGAAGGTCGTGTACGGCATGATGAGTCGTGGTATCCCGGCCTTTGGTGCAATCTGGGATTCGTGAAGGAGGATCGTTTGCGGCGATATAAAAACTTTGGTCACCAAAGATAGATCCTTTTCGTGAACGGCAGAAGGGGGTCGCACGCTAAACATATCGACTGGCTTGTACTACAATATTATTAGACTTAGAGTTCGTTCAGTGTTGCGTTGTACCAACATGTCGTTATCGTTGATGAATTTATGATTGGCATGGATTCAACGGATACTCGAAAACATCTGGAGCATCATGCATCATGATCCACACTCAACGCCGAACCGCGTTTCACGTATGTACCAAATTCAAAGCCGTTGCGCCGCCCATCTGAAGTGGACTCTTGCCACATGCCAAGGTGTTCTGCCAGTCATCCTTACTCTTTAAGCGGCATGGGCACACTCCTGAGTTGTTTCCAGCATATGATGTTTCAGATCGCGGCGAAAACGCGTGGATCGTCCGCTGGTTGCTGTAGGTTCCCGCGGAGCGCTTTTTACCCGGGGGACCTATCGAACGATCGTACGAACCACAACTAGCCCCACACAATCTCGCGATCTTTTTGGCCAGCACGGAAGTCGTCGATCTCTGCCACCGGAAAGAGCAAATTTCGTTTAGCCAAACACTATAATTGCCGCAAAAATGAGCGTGATACCCGGGAATCTGCCATGCCTGGAGCATGAATGCCGTCTTGATCATCGATGGCATATTTTGAACATTGCAGGCAGACCAGCTGACATGGCGTTGCTACTTTCCAAGGGATTCCACGAGCGACAGTTGCGCGGCGCCCAGCATTCAGCCACAAGTTGATGCGAGGGCGAGCTAGCCGCGAACATCGGATATGCGCCGCTAAGGGAGCCCCGGGCCAGTGCCGGGTGGTCAGGTGTCATCAAACAACACCATTTAGTTCCGTTCGCGGGCTCGGGATCCCTGTCGCAGCTGTGGACACCGACTTCACGTCTGGAGACTTGCCATCGTCGAGTGCTCATTCAGTTTTCTATGACTCGAGTAAAGTTAACAGATCCCAATAGACATCATGCGTATCGAGGAGGGATTCAAGCCTGTGAGTCATCGTCTGTCAGTATTGCTGTAGCGTCGCGAGGGCGCTCATATTTTCCAGGCTCCCTTCACAGAGTCACATCCCTATTTCTCAGATCCCGCCCTCTCCGGACTGCTGAAGCGCCTCTGCCCACCAGGCGTCTTCCAAGATGTCGAGCTTGATCTGGAGCGGTTTGGCGAGATAGTGTTGACCAGTTCGTCGTTCTATTGACAGCTCTAAATGCGCACACTGCGAAGGGCTCAATGCCGCGTAAATAGCCATGAAAGCGCTCAGTAAAGTTTCAGCGCGTCCGCAATTTGTTCAATACGACCAATGGGGCCAGCGTGTTGACGAGTTGCAGACGTCAGAAGGCTGGCGCGGGCTGAAAGCGCTCTTCCAGCAGGAAGGGATCGTTGGGATATTCTATGAACGAAAACATCGAGAGCACAGTCGAGTCCATGGCTTTGCGAAGATATTGCTTGCAGTCGGAGACTCTCACTCGGTAAGGTTCTGGCGGATTACCTGCAGGATGACAAGATGAATCTAAATGTTTTACAGATAGATTGTCCCCTGAGCATGACTGATGGCGCTGCAAGGGGTATGCCGTTAAGTTATGCGAAGGATATATCACCTTGACATCCAAAATCACAGTTATCGAGCTCATCGGAACGCCTGCGCTGAAACAGGACGTATTTTCTCGTCTCATCAAGTACGTATCATGTATCTGATCCGCAAGTGTGTCCTTATTCAGCATTGTGGTAGTCGTGATCCATCGTTGGCGTTCACAGCAGGCCAGTGGATGACTGAGGTTAGCACTTATAACCGATCTGTCATTTGGCTGAGACGCCGATCGTCATTCAGCGGCCCGGCGGTTCGGACATATCCCGCACAGAAACAACCGCTGCTAGCGTCATGGATTCGGCACCACTGCCATCGCATACCTATGGCCCCCGATACAGACTTGATGGGTTTAAGTGGTTCTCAAGCGCCACTGACAGCGACGTATCCCTTGCGCTTGCCCGCACCGGTACGGTCGCCGAGGGCACTCGAGGGCTCTCGCTCTTTCTCGTGCCGCTAAGGCTTCCGCTCCTCCGTCAGCCTGGCACGCCGCAGCCGTCGCCTGTCAGCAATCACATCTATGTTCATCGCCTCAAGAACAAGATTGGTACGCAAACACTGCCTACAGCAGAGCTATCGCTCCAGGGTTCAGAGGGATACATCCTTGGCACGCCGGGACAGGGCGTGAAGCTCATTACACCCGTGCTGAATATTACGCGGTTGCATTCAGCGACGGCCTCTGTTGGTCATTTGCGCAGATGCCTCGCGATCGCGACATCGTACTCGACAGTACGCGCAATCAAGGGTGGCCAGCAGCTGTTGAAGGATAACCCGCTGCACGTCGCCGAGCTGGCCAAGGCGTCGGTGCTGTACCGTGCTCTCTTACACATGTTGTTCGGCACAATCGCCCTTCTAGGAAAGGCCGAGTGTGGAGTCGCGACCAAGGAAGAAGAGTTGAGGCTACGATTGCTGACACCCGCTGTCAAGGCATTTGCGGCGGACAAAGCAGCGACTGCAATGGAAGAGTGTATGACTGCCCTCGGCGGCGCCGGATACATGACCGAGAACGAGTTCGGCAGGTGAGACACTCCCGCGTGTGAACACTATTATTGCATGCTGACAGTGGTGACGCCGCGGATCTGATCAGGATGATACAGGATGCATTGGTCGAAAAGATATGGGAGGGGACCATCACGGTCTTGTCCCTCGACCTTGTCAGGGCCGTTTCACAATCAACAGCTCTGGACGCTTTCATATCCGTACGCGTTCCATCTAGTCTCACGGTGTCCACATGTACTAATCACTTCACGAACGCCGTATTTCCAGTGGGCGCAAAAACTCCTTGCGTCGTGCCCAACATCCCTTGATACATCTCTCACCGTCCCCCTCGCCACTCTGCGCACAGCTATCAGCGACGTCAAAGAGGCATTTGTGGCGCCCATCCCGGCCCTGATTCCCCGTCCTGCGCTCTTGCTGTTCTCGCACGTCGCATGTGGTCTATTTTTGCTCGAGCATGCTGTGTGGGCATTCGAGGCAAAGGAACAGACGTGTGATGTGGACGCAGAGGTCTTCCGAAGGTGGGTGGAGGAAGGCGGGTTGAGCATGGCGATGGCGGACGTGCGTAGGGCGAAGGCTGCACCTTCCGACCGGCTCCGGGTGGATGGTGACCTCGTGTATGGCACCAAAGCTGGACACCATCCTCAGCGGGCACGTCTGTAGATTGACACCTCGTATGGTACGTGATGGCACGATGACAGTGTTTTGCCTGTCTGCTTTCGCATGAGCTGAGTCCGACACTGGTTTTCTGGTTCAGAATGCATGCATGGTCTCATTTTCGACATGATGGTAGGAATTTTGCCCACAGCGACAGCTGTGGCCCACTTCATGTACCACGAGACTGCTAAGGAAAGGAAATGTACCATTCACGAACTTCGCTGAGTCGATGTCCCAACTACTACATAACGAATATAACCACCACAAATTGGCTTTCTATATCAGCAAAGTGTGTCTTTGCGCATTGGTTACGAATGCGTACGCTAGTAGTCACACTGCGGAGGAGGGGGGGTTACGAAAAAGTTACAGACTCATACTAATCACTCGTTTCAACGTATGAACTTCGCGTGAATTCAACTGCGCCATATTATCCATATTGCTGAGCGCTTATTACAATTCGCTTCTAATCTTTCATAACCACTAAGCGTTTCAACTACACTGACTGTGAATAGCCATTCTCTTTGTTTACCGCCGACGCCTTGTTCATCGATGGACGAGTTATCGACAGCATTCCCTAGGACGGAATCTCCATTATCGCCGCGCGCTCGTCCGCGCAAGATTACGACGTCCTTTTCTTCCCAGACTTCCGCACCGCCAGGCCGACAAGGTCCAGCACGCCTCAGAACACCTGTTTCCTACCCCCACCTTTCTCCTGCTAGCATTATCAGCAACGGGTGAGCAATGCGGTCCAGCGTGATGAGGGTGTGCTCAGAGACTGACACGTTTATATATATAGGTCACCGTCAGAGATCCTTGCGCCAGTCCCAGTCAAACACCACAACCTCGCTGCATCGGAGAGCTCACACTGGCTCGGCTCTCCGACGCTCTCTGTCTCGTCTTCGCGTCCCATCTCCCCCATGTCGCTCGGTGGGACGAGCGGTGATCCACCCGTACTTGCTCGCCGCCGGCGGCTCTCATATCAGCTCAGCTTCTCGTCACTCATGGAGATGGAACTTGGCGCGCATCCACTACGCGCAGAACGCACGCACAAGTCCGACCCTGAACGCGACAGTGGAGAAGGGATGGGCAGGCGATGGGTGCGTTGGATGCACAAACACGGCGCGAAGCGCTGGGTCGTGCCATGCGCCGTCCTCATGTCGGTATGGATCAAGTGGGCAGTAGGATTGGGGTCGTATTCCGGTCAGTGAGCTGCGGATAGCGGTAAGACAGGAAGACTGAGCGGACGCGCTGGTTAGGACAGGGTGCGCCGCCGATGTTCGGTGACTATGAGGCACAGCGGCACTGGATGGAGCTTACAATACACCTCCCCGTGCGCGAGTGGTACAGTTATGACCTGCCGTACTGGGGCCTCGACTACCCTCCGCTCACGGCGTACGTGTCGTGGCTATGTGGGATTGTGTGAGTGACTGCATTTGCCTTTGTGGTTGTGGCTGAACGATCATTAGTGGATCGTGGATGGATCCACAGTGGTTCGCGCTTGACGCGTCGCGTGGGCTGGAGAGCGCGACTAGCAAGGTGTACCTGCGTTCGACGGTTATAGCATTTGACACGCTCGTTTACGTGCCCGCGCTGCTCATGTTCACGCATACATGGCAGAGAAGCCGCTCAGCTCGCACGCAGGTAAATCCACGTTCTTTTCTGACGCGGAGAGCCGATGTTGATTGTCCATGCAGGAGTACGCGTTATCAGTACTACTCTTGCAGCCCGCGCTGCTACTTATCGACTTCGGCCATTTTCAGTACAATTCGGTCATGCTAGGTGTGCGGCGCGTGTATGAGGCTCCACGAAATTTGCATGACTGATTTCCGTGATTAGGGCTGACACTTCTTGCACTGAACTGCTTCGCAATTGGGAGAGACATTTCCGGCGCGGTCTTCTTTGTGCTCAGCCTCGGATTCAAGCAAATGGCACTGTACTACGCGCCTGCAATCGGATCATACCTGTTTGGCAAGTGTCTCTACCTTGGGCCTGCGCATGGGTGCGTCCCTGCCGTTTTCACTATCCTTCATTTTCGATTTTCCTACGATACTCACAGACATATGTAGCATCCGCCATTTCATGCATCTCGCAGCCGTTACCATCCTCACGTTCATCCTGCTCTTCCTCCCGTTCCTTCCCCCTTTTGCACCACTATCTTCTCTGTTGGACCCAGTCACACGTATATTCCCCTTCAATCGCGGACTATTCGAGGACAAAGTGGCAAACTTCTGGTGTGCGAGCGACGTATTGGTTAAATGGCGGCGGCATCTCGGAGCGCAGGCTCTTGTGCGGCTTTCCGCTGGACTTACCGTGCTGGGGTTCTTACCCGGGGCGGTTGGGTTGATGTACAATGCGTGGAAACTGCGCTTGCAGTCTGGTCCTGCCGAAGAGAACAAGAGCGAGAAGGTCGAGGAAGGGGGCAGTGATGCTCGGGACAAAGCGACGAAGCAGCCTGTGCCAATAATCACACTACTTCCGTATGCATTACTGACGTCTTCGATGTCATTCTTTCTGTTCTCATTCCAAGTACATGAGAAGACAATTCTATTACCGCTGCTTCCGATCACGTTGCTGCTCTCTGTGGCGCGTGAAGGCTCGGAGACCGCGGAGATGAGCATGTTCGTGAGCAATATTGCTGTATTCAGGTATGTGGAGATGTTGTAATGGAGAATTCTCGTTAAGCATTGCTAACCAATGTTGTAGCATGTGGCCCTTGTTGAAGAAGGATGGCCTTGGGGTCCCATATGTTGCGCTGACGCTTTTCTGGAATCGGTTAATGGGTTACAACCCATTCCGTACTCGGCCAGAATCTCTATTACAATACGTTTCACTGGTGCGTACCTATCCTTGTTGCGATCCGGTGCCCACTGACGTGCTGTTCCAGGTCGCCCATACAGCATGCCTTGTCCTTCATGTACTGGAACTGCTCATGTCACCTCCTGCGCGGTACCCAGACCTCTTTCCGGTCCTCAACGTCGTTTTAACGACTCCTGTATTTGTGCTGGCATGGCTGTGGAGCATACGACGTGGTATTGAGATGGGGTGGGCCTTAGGTGGTCTGGGCTCCGGCATGAAAAATGAGGTCAGGCCCAAAGTCATTGAAGAGGACGCAGAAGGTGCTGTGCAAAACGGGAGCAGCAGCTCCGTCGGAGGGATCAAGCGCGAAGCCGGTGCCCGTGCAATCAGCTTGGGTTATGCGCAGGGGAGGCGGAGACATTTTTATCGGAGCGGGAGCATCAGCTCTGTGCTCAGCTCTGCGAGCCAACCCGGACGTGAGCGCGAGTCAAAATAGCCATCTAGTGCTGACGCGTATGTTGTGTATTTGTTGGACTCTGCTGTGTGTTCTGCTTGGATATTCTGTTGTGTTGCAACTGTAGTGTACCGTCCAATGGCCAATAGTCCGCAACTTGCTGCATTACGGTGCGCACTGCGAGCTACTGCGAGTCTCCCGAAAGGCACTGCAAAGTTTTAGGCCGTTGAGGCCGAGGTGACCTCGTTACAACCGAACCGAACCGGGCGCGCACCGGTTGCTGTTGTGGGCGAGCCTCGTGACCAACCTGCATTCAAAGACGTCCAGAGCTAAGTCCGGCTCCCGACCATATATTCCAACCCCATTTCCACCCTCCACGTCTCATGCGCTAGTAATCCTTATATCTTCCTACCTCATTTGCCTTTAGTCCTTTCACGCCATGATGTTGTCTACCCTCTCGCGCAGTCCCCGCACCTTCACTCTCGTCGCTCGCTCGCTTTCCACCGAGGCCATATCCTCCTCCCAGTCACAGCTACCCCCTCCTCTTCCACCCTCGCCCAACAAGCATCCCAGCTCGAAGCCCATTTCTCGTACGCGGTTTGACCCTGCACCACGGCCTGCTCATCCGCCGCGACCGCAGTACCAGGTGCTTCCGCACCTCCCGCCGTCTTTCGGCCGCAACCAGTTCTTGCCGGTCGCCGATTCCACACGTGCCCTTCTTGAGAGCATCGTTGCGGAATTCAATGCGCCCATCCGGTATGCGTTTGCGTACGGCTCTGGAGTGTTCGACCAGGATGGGTACAAGAAGGACGAGAAGCCAATGCTTGACTTTATGTTCGCAGTCACGCACGCTGCGCACTGGCACTCGATCAATATGAACCAGTTCCCGTCTCATTACCCATTACATGCACGAGTTCTTGGTTCGTCTTTCGTGGCGCGTGTTGAAGATATCAGCCCCGGTGTGTACTTCAATACCTTCATCCCCATGAAGGGTGTGGTACGTCGCGCGATCGTTATCTCCGCTCCTCCGTGCTGACGCCCTCTCAAGACCATCAAATACGGCGTGACAACGATTGACAATATGTGTGCTGACCTGCTCAACTGGCGCACACTCTACCTCGCGGGTCGCATGCACAAGCCCATCCGTATCATCAAGGATGATGCTCGCGTGCGCCTCACGCAGCAGGTCAACCTCACATCTGCTGTCCGCACCGCGCTTCTCACCCTCCCGGAGACGTTCACTCAGCGCGAACTCTTCACGCGTGTTGCGGGGTTCAGCTATGCGGGTGATGTCCGTATGTCGCTGCCCGGTGAGAATCGCGGCAAGGTGCAAAACATTGTCGGTCGTCAGACGGAGCAGTTTAAGGAGCTATACCACCGCCTTGTGGTCGCACTTCCTGGGGTACACTGGCCTGCCCATATGGAGACTATCCAGCAGGACACTAGTGCGCACGCTCGAGCAGCGCACCTCAGAAAGCTTCCCTCGAACCTATTGAAGCATATAACGGAGCAATATGCCTCGGAGGTGCACCCGAAGGAAGCTGATGAAACTATGTACTGGACGAGCCTTGCCGGTGATGAGAAGCTCCCGCAAATTATCGACCACGGTATGTCAGCCGCCGCTTGAGAGGCGAAATATCTTTGAACACTGATCCGCCATTTTCGTAGAGCTGCGCAAGATCGTGCGACAGTCGTCGACGGCGCAGTCCCTTAAGGGGATCGTCAGTGCGGGTTTAGGCAAGAGCGTGCGCTATTCCACGGAGAAGATCAACAAGTGGTGGAACAGCAGGAACGCGAGCGCGGGTAGCTCGTGAGGCGGATACCTCCTGCATATGCGCGAGGATGGGTTGCAGACTAACCACTATAGAGCTATGGATATTTGGGAGTGCATTGCTGCATCAGTAATAGCCGTTTAGGTAGTCAACACTATAAGCATTATTAGGACGCTGCGTATAATAAAGGTCAAGACCACTCCATAGAGCCAGTATGTGGCAAGAGACAGGTCGTTAACGTCTGCAGTCCTAATTTGTTCCTGAAGGATCAATGTAGCGCAGACGATGTCTTCCTTTAACTTTTCGGCCACGGGGACAGTGCTGAGTTATATTGCGATGTCTAAAAGTAATTATATGTCGTGATATATTCCAAAGTGTGATCCCTTCTTAGAGCAACATGGCGCAGCTGGAAGCGCGCGGGGCTCATAACCCCGAGGTCACTCGATCGAAACGAGTTGTTGCTAGTAATATTTTGTCATTTGTCATCAGGCCACCCTTATTTTGGCCATCTTATTTTTCGACCTCTCTATCCCTTATCCCTTTTCTCACTGACATGGGTATGACGCTACCTTCTCGCGAAGATGTTACTCCTGCCGAACAAATGCGTACTTTGATGACTCGAAAAGAGAACATCGAAGTCGAGCTCGATGCGCAGGCCTCCGTACTCAAGGCAAATAACTCGACAATGCAATCACCCCTCGTCGACCCGGAAGGATTTCCTCGTGCTGACATCGACGTCTGGGCAGTCCGACATGCACGCGTGCGCATCATCGAACTGCGGAACGATTTGGCTGCTTTAAGGGATTCGATAATGACGGCACTGCAAGGCGTGTATGACCCCTCTCTACTGAAGGAGGGACCAGCAATTGTGGAGGAATCTGTAACCGAAAGTATCCTGTTACCGTTTGCGAGGGTTAGTGGCGTTGCTCCCGGTAGTCCTGCAGCAGCAGCGGTATGTCTCTGCTTCTCTTTTGCTTTCGAAGCTTACGGCTGAATGCTACCGCTCAGGGACTTACGAGAGAAGACCTCATTCTCTCATTCGGCTCGTTAACGAAGGCATCCTTCACATCCTCTTCATTACAGCCGTTGGCGGAATTTGTTGCAACCCGAGAGAACGTGAGTCCCGCATGTACGCATCTCTGTCGACTTCACTTCATTCATAAATTGTTGGTCGCAGCAAGAGATCTCTGTCCAAGTGTTGCGTGCTGAGCAAGAGACTGCCACTTTGTCGTTTACTCCGAGAAGCGGATGGGGAGGGAGAGGATTGCTAGGGTGAGTCCCGCTTTACAAATGCGCCATCTGCTATGCTCATCCTCATCCTGGGACCTGCACGTAGATGTCATATTGTTCCGTATACCGTGTCATAGACGCTCTCGTTGTGCTTTATGTATTATCCTAGCTGTGAGTGATATCGTTGTAACAGTCAGTTTATCTCGCTGTATATTACGATAGAATTCATCAAAGGAATGTACCAATTATGAAGCCTCTTTTCCAGCCGTATCCATTTGGTCATTTATAAATGACCTCTCATCTTAATTGCGTGTTCCTGAATGCTACAGGCTCATTGATCTCTCGGTAGTGGGCCATGCGTAATATGTTTGAATCTTTGCCATATGGTGTTTCTGAAAGACATTTGCTCCTTCGTCGAGTCTCGAATGCACGTCATCCGTCATTCGCATGCGAACTGCGTGCAGTGCAGATCCGCATTCGTAGTGTTCAATGGACAGTTAGGTGCAAATCCTTTAATCTCAGTCCGGATTCCCTACTGGTGTTCTACCTTTCTGTGCGACATACTATGCCATCTAAATCAGGCTTTCGGTAGTCTCACTTCCCGTGCTATTGCGTGACGTGGCTCCTCCTGTGATCTACGCAGCTTAGTTGTCATGCATGATAACGTACCAAAGAAGATCCGGTGAGTTTGCCTCAACCCCCACACTTCTTATCCCTCATGCATGCATAGCCTGCCAGTAAGTTCACCGGAAGGACTCGTCTGAACGAACGGCGCATGAAACTTTATTATCAAAGCCCAATAATCCCTCCCCTTCGCGCTTCCACGGAATATGTCAGCGCGATGGACCCTAATCCAACCGTCAGAGCATGCAGCATTCCCTCATGGGTAGCTGACTGTCGATCTTGCTGGCGCGTCAGGTATACGCCGGTCTATCATTGGAGATCCAGCAGCGTTCGAAAATCGATATCGATGAGCGAAAGTCTATCGATCCCGCCATAAAAGTACGTACAATCAATTATAACGTCTTCAACACACTGCTTGCTTGTAATCGTACCTAGCTCGGAAGAAACGGCTGCTATCAAAGGCGAGTCGATACGTTCACGACCCAACCGTGCTCTCAATGATTGTTGGTTGCAATGCATAGATGGAGGCCGCGATGGCTTCGCGGCATACAGACGTGTGATCCACCACGCGATCCTTCAGCCTCGCTCTCTTTGGGCGGACAGCGATTACTCAGTTCAAGTCATCGATCCCTTGATACACGGACCACGTTTTGGCATACTTCCCTCTTTTCTCCCGTTCCTTGGCCAGAAAGTGACAATTATGAGAGGGAAGATCTGTGCCGTCATCCTGCTGATATCGATCGCTTTCTCAGAGTATACGCATATCATCACTTCCGTGAGAAAGACGCTATATCACTCACCCTGAGAATCATCACGGAACCGCCGTCGCACGGAGGCAAATATTCTACGCCTGACGATAATCGCATCACTTGCAGCCATCTTTCGGGGGATATTCTCCTTTATTCAACTTGGATGTTAGCACACCTGCGCAACCGGCACCTCTAAATTTCACAGCGAGTAGGTGTGATACACACATACGTCGCAAGATTGGCCTAATACAATCTCATCAGCCTTCTTACATCTTATTTTCTCCGCCGATTACATCGCATTACAACCGTACCTCTCAGAATGTGCTTGACACGATTAGCTTTCGGCCGGATAATTGCAGGGTATCCTTCCTCTCCCATCGCCTTGTGCTCCATCTAAAGCTTCCGAAACCAAGGTTCATGAGCGTTAAGACATTTATTGAGAAGCGTACCTTTTGATCGTGGAGCCACATGCACACCACCTTGCCGTACTGTTCTCCACGAACAACGGTTGGCCTTCAGACGATAAAGTAGAAGAGGAGGTTCTAATGGAGAGCATCCTGTGTGCTTCCAGCAAATCGGGATAACGCCATCGGCGCAGACTCTATTTCGAGACTCCTGGAGCACTCGGCTACGACTGCCCACTTGGTGCCACTGGGAGACACAGATGAAGATGGCAAGGAAGACCAACGTGAATCAGAGTGAACAGCGCTATCAGTGGTTCGATGGTTGGAGGAAATTAAGGGACTTAGGGAAACCGACCCGATAACAAGCGTCCAGAAAGGCCACGCCGTATTCTGAGGGGAGGGACGCAGACGCACGAAAGACGCACGAAATTCGAGAGAAACACGCATGCCATTATCAGTGCGTAGTAGTTCTTTACGACTGCACACCTTTCATGCCCTGTAGGAAACATCCGGTCGGGGCTGGACACAGGGAGTTCCAGATCGCGGTGCAACTTGCGCCTCGTGAAGGTGAATATCCCTGAGGTTGTTGTTGAGTGCGCTGGAGTCGTCAGCGACCAGAGCCGGAAGCGACACCCGACGTTGTTCTTGTGCACTGCATACAATCATTGTGCTTGTGAGTAGTGGCTCTGCTATACCATCTGGTATTCGCCAACTCTGACCACATCTGGTGAACCATCGTGAACGGCCGGAGTTCACACGGCGGGGAAAAACTTGCTAACTGGCTCCAGGCAGTATGTATTGCCTCTGACCTGGTAGGTCTGTACGGGCGCGGATTTTGCGGACACTCGGACAGCCGTTCTACGATGCTGCGAAGAAGAGGTGGACAGCCAATGTCAACATTTAGGGGATCTTAGTCGAGCTGGACGCGGTCCATATCGTCATCGAAACGCTCTAGAACCCCGCATGCCGACTCTCGCTTCGCGATAATCATTCGCCAGCAGTACGAGTTAGCGTCTATGTGGGTGGCCAGCTGTATGCGGGCAAGCGCGAGGTCGTTGCCGGTGCAGCGAAATCGACAGAGTCGGTGAAGGAACCCATGGATAATACGCGGCCGAACGACGTACCGCTGGAGATGTCGGACTTCAAGTTTGACTCTACGCCGATTGGCCAGCGTCACGATCTTCATGAACCATGAGACAAGACAGCAACGTTGTGGGAGGTGGAGAAGGACCTTCATCGAAAGCTAGCAAGGGACGGTTGGGTGAACATGAGCAGAGTCGGTGATGGGTATTTCATCCCGGTATTCGAAACTCCACGGAGGTATGCATGCCACATATGTGCACCTGCTTGAGCTGCCTATCTGTATGCTGAAAGATACTTGGAAATAAGTATTAATGGCCTCTCGAGTTCCTTCTTTGCGTTTGATGTCTCATTGCTTCCCTACTCGCCCGAGCTTGATGCCGGAGCCGCCAACGTGCCAGTGATAGTATCAGGAGAATTAAAGACCAAATCTGGCATGCGTACATGGCCTACTGTTCGCGGACGGTTCGATGCTAGAAGCCGACATGGTCATCTTCGCGTGCGCATCCGGAGCCTTATTATCCAATAACGTTGATATTGACCGCGAAATCCAAACACTGATATCGTGATCTAAAAGAGTTCTTCAAAACCAATTTCGGCTGCGAGATGATCGGAAATAGGAGTCCAGTGTCCGGTTTGGACGGGAAGAGCGAGATATGATACATGAGGACGCTGCCGACCCAGTGGATGGCCAAGATGAGTAACATGTCGTCACGCAGGCCTTTATGTATGGTGTTCAAAATTCTCCCGCACCGACATATGGAGCGGGAGATGCCTTCATGAACAGGATCCTGTCAAAGCAACTGGTAAGGACAATTCACGTCCATTCCCTCGATTCGGCTGACACACCTCCATGACAGGCTCTGCAGACCAAAACGATAGACTGGGCATGATTTTGCACACTATATGGGGGTTCATTAGGAAAACTCAAATCCAACTTAGGACACTTTTATCCGCTTGCCGTCACCAAAAAAGACAATAAGCTCGAGAAAGTCTCAGGACCTTCTTGTTTTGAACCTTTTTCTGGGTCGGAAGCTTCTTATTGTGCATTTGTTCGCTTGTACAAGCCAATACCAGCAAGAACAAGTCAAAAAGGAGGTTCTCGCTGAGCGACAAGCCGATTCGAGTTTTCCTGATGACTTGCTGTGTCTTGATTGTGCCTTCTACGTCTTCTCTGAGGTTGCTACTGAATACCCGATTTCCGCACTCGGTTTTTGCGCATATACAAGCTCAGCGGCGCCGTCTTCGCGGTGAAAATAGAATAAAAGCGCGCACATAAGCGAACACGCTGCAATATGTGATCGGATGGCCCTGACACTGTTGTGATCGAAGCCTCAAGTAGATGGCACTTCGCCATAGAGTCCTCGCTTCCCATCCGTCCTCGAACTGATTTATCGTCAAAATGACTGGCAGACTGGATAGCAATGCAAAGCGGAGATTCGGTTGCGACTACGGCTGATCTCATCGTGTCACGGGTCCAGACGCCGGCGGGTGATGGATACCTTGTCGCCGTCGCGATCTCCCCAGTCCCACCAACTCGAGTCCCGGCTCTTTGCTCGCACCTCGTCGTGTACTGACCCGCAGCTTTCAGCTTGCTTTCTTTTGCGTTTCATAAGATTTACTTATCTCTAGGTGATATCCGTAGGCCCGATTGTTTCTCTACATAGCTATCTTCGGTCTCTACCAGCCGCCGAACGCGCCCTTCGTCGATTCACTTCATCTGAGACCCTCTACGATGTCGCAAATATATATCGCCGAGTCTCCTGTACAGTCTACTCTACAATCTCCGCCGTCTCTCCAGCAGGAAAACACCGCTTTCCCACCGGGGGAAGTCGAGTTACCATCCAGCCCGACGCCCCTTCCCACTTCGCCTTCCACTGCTACGTCCAGGACCACCCGGACTGTCGCAATCATCAAGCACCACGCTCTTGAACATCGCTTTGACATAGAGCAGCGAATTTCGGAGGCGGGGTTCGAGGTCCGATGCTCTCCGTCTCTCACACCGTCGTACGATGGTATTAACAATCGCATGTTTACGCCCCGATATAGATCGTCAAAGAGCGTCAAATGGAGTTCGATGTAGAGACAGATCCGGAGACGCTCTTTGAGCTGTTCGGAGCGGACTACGAGTCGTTCGGCGAGTGAGTCTCCCAGTGTCCTCGATCTCCGAAATATTCTCAATATTCGCCTTCCCCCCTCTTGTACATTTCCTCCAGAGGTCCCGTGTGGGTATACGTCCTGGAGCGGCGACGAGCTGTCGAAGTTTGGGCGACCCTCATGGGCAACGCCGACCCCGCCATCGCGTGCAAGCAAACTCCGCACTCTCTGCGTGCCCTCTACGGCTCGAACGCCAAGCATAATGCGGTCATGGGCTCCCCCGACGTACCCACCGCCGAAATGCAGATCATGGCCGTCTTCGCGTCGTCTCCGCCTTTCCCGCCGACGGATCTCCCAGATACAAGTTTCAACTCGGACACGATGAGGTCCCCCTCTTCCTCCATCCTCTCATCGCTCCGCAAGACCACCTCGAGCGACGGCGACCCCGCCTCGTCCGTGACCAGCCCATCAACAGCAGGCGGGAGCAAGACCGGCAAGTCGCCCTTCAAGGCGCGCCCCCTCCCTCCGTCCCACACGACGCCCACAATCGTCCCGCGCATGTCCCGTGCGGCCTCCCTGCGCGCAGGCCTGCCGGTAGAGAAGACCCCGACAGTACACATGCCGCCGAGCAAGGAGCGCCTCGCTCAGACGTTCGAGAACGTGCCGGGACACAAGCGCCGCGAGACCATCACCGTCGCGAGCACGGCGCCGCCCGCGATCGCGCCCCGTATGACGCGTGCGGCGTCCCTTCGGCTTGGAATCACGCCCCCGGAGAAGACACGGAAGAGCTTGCCTGCGTACATCGGCAACGGCGGCGACGGGCAAGGGGAGAAGAAGGACCCCTTTGAGGGCGTGCCAGGGCATAAGCGGCGGGAATCAATCCCTGTGGCGAGTACGAAGCCACCGACCATGTCGCCGAGGACGAATCGGAGTGCGACGCTGCGCCAGATGAAGGAGTCGGCTCCTCCACCGTCGTCGTTTACGCGTGAGTAATTTGACTTATCGCGTCACGGTGAATATTTAAGAAGATTCCGTCATTTTGAATAATTTAGTCCGGACACGCTCCGAGCAGCCCCCGTCTCGGTCACAGTCTCGCAATTCCTTGGACCAGTCCACAGCCCGTTCTACCGTCACGCGCCCCGCCTCCGCCGCTTCGGCGCAGTCTCCCGCCTCCCGACCTACACCATCGCGCGCGGCATCACGGACTTCTGCCACAGCAGCTACGTCGCGCAAGTCCACGTCCGAGTCGCGAGCCTCCGTCTCTGCAAAGCCTGCTGCAGCAGACAGTGCCTCCGCTCAGAGATCGAAGGTGGTCGGAACCACGGATGGAGCTGCAGAGCCCGCCGCTGCAAAGCCGAAAGCACGCGTGAGCAGCACGCAGGCGCCTACCATCGTACCGCGCACGAACAAGAGCGCTGCGCTGCGCGCGGCAAAGATGGCCTCGGCCTCTGCGACTGCCACGGCGGTGCCCTCTGTTGCGAAGGCGAAGCCCGCACATGCTCCGCGGGCCATCAGAGCGTGATACTTTGAAAAAGCCCTGTTGCCATCCAAAAGTTCCCTGGGTTATGATCAGATGATAACAAGCACTGCGCCATGGGAGTCTCTTGGGTGTCTCGATTCTCGATGTCTTGCTTGGGCGCACCGAAGCGGGCTGTCAAAGTCGAGATATGGTACACGCCTTGTGGTTCTGTCCTATTCTTTTTCGAAGCGCGGACTTGGCTCCTTCTAGCGTGCTGGACGCTCTTCGTTTTCTCTCACACCTCTTGCTGTTTTACTCGAGCCCCGCTGCGCGCACATACCGGGCCTCTATTGGCTACGCTCGCGGACTGCTCAGATCTATGCCCTCTCCCCTCAGAGTACAAATCCTATTGTTATGGTCGGTTGACTTCGCGTTTATGCGCCGCTGCTGGCGTCTTCCTGTTGTACGTGTAGTAGTTGTCTATCCTTAGTGTTAGATTAGTGACGAGGTGGCTCTGACGGTCGGCTCTTCAAAGCATAGCATGATTGATGGTGATGTTGCGTTCAGGACATCTCGAACGCAGTTACGCGTGGTACGACCATCTCGGCAGCTGAACAAAATGATCTACAGCTCTTAGCCTCAGGTAGGATGCGCCTCTCGTACCGTTTCTGAGATCTCAACTTGACTGCGGGGTTAGCTTACAATCGCAGTCTATAGGGCACCGTCGCTGAGGCGAGAACACGGTCACGTGATACAAGGCCTCCGGAAATGTCCACTATCTCGCTTCAACGTCGAAGAAACACCGCAGACATGAAGCGTTTTGCATACGTGGCAAATGCTTAGCAAATGTCGACAGGTTTTTTGCCTTTGTGATCTTAATTTGCTATGGTTCCTTCCCACATTCTGTATTAAGTATTTGCATATAATATGTTGGAGGCAGAAATTTAAAATCATATATTTTAAGAAATGACACCATTTTTAAACTCACCAAATACATTTAGAATTTGAGTGCTGTTGAATGTAATCATACAATTTTGAATTCCAAATCATCACATGTATAAAATACCCAGTAGCAGACGAAGGTGTAATTATGCCTACATTCTACTTCCCTACTGAAGTCATTCGTAATTACACCTTCATCTGCTACTGGGTATTTTATACATGTGATGGTTTGGAATTCAAAAATGTATGATTACATTCAACAGCACTCAAATTCTAAATGTATTTGGTGAGTTTGAAAATGGTGTCATTTCTTAAAATATATGATTTTAAATTTCTGCCTCCAACATATTATATGCAAATACTTAATACGGAATGTGGGAAGGAACCATAGCAAATTGAGATCACAAAGGCAAAAAACCTGTTGACATTTGCTAAGCATTTGCCACGTGTGCAAATCGCTTCATGTCTGCAGTGAAAGAGAGTTGCAACACATTGAAGGGACTGTTGAGAGGTAGGCATGATTGAAATGTGTTTTCCATTTGTTACAACCCTGAGCCAACGCAGCCCTTAACTGCGGTGTGACAGGAAAGGTGACCATGCGTGACAGGCGCGTCGGGCCGACATTCGTGACAGGTTTTCTTGTAGTACGATAGCGGCCACTATCAGACTTGGTCATCTAGTTATTAGGCTCCTATACCCACCTCAGCCAGTTCATGTCCAAAAAAAATGCTCGGCATTTTTTATTCCTCGTTAGAGATGAATGTCTGCGGCAGCGTGCTCTAGCATCCCTTGAAGTCTTGAACCACATCGAATCGGCCTCCAGATCAACTTACACTGTTGGAGGCAGGAAGATGACTTGGGCTCTGCAAACAGCGGGGTGATTACTGGAAGGATCTCTTCAACATGCGCAATCAAGAGATGACGATGAGAAGTGCGCGTTCAAGCCCAAGTGGGGAGGAACAATTGATAATCATGAAATCGGTTGAGATGACACTTGCTAAGATTGTACCTTGCGATCCCATGTCATGGTTTACTATACAGGCACATACATTTGTTTCTCAATGTTCAGTTTATATGCTGGATCATGGACGATGAGGACGGAAACACCTCTACCTGCATAAGCAATAGACCAGACTCACCTCGGATATCATAGCTTTTCCACGTTTCGCTTCATTGCCGTCATGCGCCCCTCGCATCGTACCTCAAACCCTCTAACTCTCTAATCTCTACATCACTCTGTTCATTCCAGTTCTTCACGCTATACACGAACCACGTCAATCCCGCGAGCACGCTCCACCAGAAGACCTCCGGCCAGCCAGCCAAAAACAGCAGCGACAGCGCAGGTGCGCCCAGAGTGAACGGGCCGACGAACGTAAACGCGAGCGGAAGAGTGATGAGGGAGAGTGGGAACGGAAGGCCGGCGATGGCGAGAATGAGAGGATGTGCAGGCGGTAGGAGTAGCAAGAAGAGGTTGAGATGGAGAAGGATGTGCAGGAAGGCGAAGAACGGAGAGAGCGGGATCGCAGGAGGAAGGGGCTCGAACCACGGAAGGAGAGCGTAGAATGGATTGTCTCCGCTAAGGATGAACACGATGTGTCTGATGCATTGTGCTCAGCAAGTTGACAAATGCTCGACGGCTTAGACTTACAGCAGCAGCGACAGACCAATCACAGCCTGGACAAGGAAAAGATATTGACTGGTTGCGGCATCACTCTGTCTCCGAAGGCCCTCAATGAGCTCTTGTTGTTCTGCGAGGAGGATGTTAGCCTGTCGTAACACTTCGCATGCAGCTAGCCACTCACCTTGATCGTCCAGGATGTGCTCCTCGCCCTGCTGCTCGTTCTCAGCAGAAGACTGGAAAGGGACTCGCTGTCTCAGCGACATGGTAAGAGTTAAACAGATGACGGTGGAGGTCGCAGACCGGGGCGAGATATATAAACCATCGCTGAAGGTCTGGGTGGGCGGGGTGGCACTGGGACTACGTCAAAGGCAAAGGCCGAGACGAGATCGGCCGAGAATCACGTGAGCTCGAGCCAATCAGATCTCCCGCTCATGAATTTTCGATACGCGCTCTGGTTCACACACACCAGTATGTCGTCCAGCAACGGGCTCGCACACGACGTTGTTGAGGAAGGCCAGTTTGACGATGCTCCCGATGATAAGCCTGGCGCACCCACAGCAGAGACTGGCAGCACTCCTCTGAACCCGCGTGAGGGCCATGCCTACATCGACGATGAGGAAGCACTCCTTGCATGGTCACAGAGCGAAGACGAGGATGAAGAGCGCGACGCGTTCGAGGAAGAAGAGGACGAGCTCGAAGCCTCGGTCTTCCAGACGCTCCGTGCCGAAGACGAAGATTGGGAAATCGCCGAGCGAGGTATGTCGTGCTCGACCCGGTACGCTACTCACCGAGACGAACCGCCCACGCAGACTTCACAAAACAGTACAATCGCTTGAAGCAACACGTAGCCGTGCGCACTGGATCTGCACAGGGCGTTGCATCCGCGATCAACTCCCGAGCTACTGTCGCTGCTTTGCCTGCAGTCAACCGACCGCGTCTAACAGCGAAAGCCGCCCCTTCTGCTGTGTCTACATCAAATGCATCTGTACCTCGTGCAAAGGACCAAACTGCCGACCAACTGCAGGCCTTGTCCAAGTACTCGTCGCGCATCCGCGACATCGATATGCCGTACGACCTCGGAGTAGGCGTGAACAGAAAGGGTCCGTCGGCGACTGCGAACATGAAAGACAAAAGTGACCGCGCCACGAGTGAGCAGGTGCTCGATCCCCGGACACGAATCATCCTTTTCAAAATGATCGGCCGAGGGCTGGTTTTTGAGGTGAACGGGTGCGTTAGTACCGGCAAGGAAGTATGTAGGCATCCTCCTGTCGTTGTATTCCGTTGCTTAATATATTTTCTTTATCTTCCTCACATGTGGGCGTATGTAGGCGAATGTATATCATGCACTCACGCCTGACCGGAAACATCTCGCATTGAAGATCTATAAGACGTCTATCCTGGTATTTAAAGATCGCGACAAATATGTCACAGGAGAGTTCCGCTTCAGGCGAGGCTATAGGTACGTACAGCGTACCGAGTGGTACTGCACGGACTTAGTAATCGTGCAGCCGGCATAACCCTCGCAAGATGGTGCGGCTATGGGCAGAGAAAGAGGTACGTAACCTCAAACGTCTAGTAGTAGCAGGTATCCTCTGCCCGGAGCCTATCGAGGTACGGGAAAACGTTCTGGTCATGAGCTTCATAGGCGACAAGGAGGGCTGGTGCGTCCGTTCATGTCTTGCCGTATAGGCAGTTATTGCAGGCAAACATGCTCAGCGCACTTCCGACTGCAGGGCCTCCCCACGATTGAAAGATGCCGACATTCCCGAGTCTGCCTATCCCGACCTGTATGTCGAGCTGCTCTGCATGACGCGCAAGATGTTCCTGATCTGCAAGCTCGTGCATGCCGATCTCTCCGAGTACAACGTCCTCTACCACATCGAGGACTCGCCCCCGCCTTCCTCCCCTCCCCAGTCGGACGCTGCCTCACCCACCGAGCAGCGCGGCCACCTCTACATCATCGACGTCTCACAGTCCGTCGAGCACGACCATCCACACGCATTCGACTTCCTCCGCGCCGACCTGCGCAACATCGAGGACTTCTTTGGCAAGCGCGGCGTGCGCACCATCGGTCTACGGCGCGCATTCGACTATGTCACGCGCGAGGTGCTCCCTGGCTCTGCAGACCAAGAAGAGACAGCAGTCCTGCGCCTGTGGATGGAAGAGCCCGAGCCCGAGCCTGCAGCAGACGTAGACAGAGAGATGAGTGCTCTCAGCGATGCGAAGGCAGTCGCGGATGCCGCGCACGAGGACTCGGTCTTTCTACGGTCGTACATTCCGCGCACGCTCAACGAGGTGTATGACCCTGAGCGCGACGTCGACGTGCTCACCCGCGGGGAGGGCGCCAAGCTTATTTATAAGGACACGATCGGCATCGTCGGCCCCAAGAATGAGCCGAAGAGCGCGCTGAAGTTGGTGGAAGGCGGCGACGTGGTGGTGGTGCAGAATCACAAGGCAAACGGGGTCAGGTTCAAGGAGCATGACGACGCTGATGAGGGGCGGGTTAATGCGCTAGAGGCGCAGGAGGTGGGCAGCGAAGTCGACGGCGAAGGCTCCAGCTCGGATGCGGAAGACGAGAGCTCAGGCGCTGAGGAGGTATCGTTCGAGGAGAAGCAACCGCGCGGACATCGGCATGAAGATAAAGAGGCAAAGAAAGTGCGTCCCCCCTGTTCCCAACCCTCTCTTCTTCATCTCTACTCGCGTACAGCATCCTTTCTCGAGCGTAACGATAGCAATATAAATATACTGACCAACTGCCGTGCAGGAGCGGAAGAAGGCGGTGAAGGTTGAGGCGCGCGAGCGGCGGAAACACAAGATCCCGAAGGCCGAGAAGAACCGCAAGATCAAGGCGACCGCGCGCGGCGGATGAACCCCTGATTCATCCTCTCTGCCGGCGGCGGCCCCCGTCGTGTGCACCTCTTTCGGCGACGGCGACTCCTTTGTCTTTGCCATATTTGCTAGCGGAGTCTAGGCTGGGCTTGGTATTTTAGCTAAACACTGCCCTTCTACTGCATTCCTAACATTTTCTTGTGACCGGTATTTGCGCCATTTCGTTATGAACTATCTAACGCTCATTTACCACAGCGGGGCTACTTTAGTGCAAAACGACTTCTTGTATCCGCTTTTGTGAGCAAAGCACGTTCACGAATAACATGTAGCATGATTTCACATGGTCCATTCACATCTGCTGCGCGACGTGCTCACGCCCAGCGAGTCCATGACCCACGGTGAGATGAAACTCGGGAAAGAGCCCAGAGAGCTCCCACGGAAATGAAGTTTGGGGGACCGTCCAAAGAGGGTTAGGACAAGGATGCCTGTTAGAAAGGGACCGGATGAACGAAGCCGGCGGTGATGTTTTACCTGGAAGCGCACTCCTGTCGTTCCGCCGACGATTCACTTGTTTAGGAAATCCCGCTTCCGGCGGCGGCGCCGTCGGGCAACTGCACACACTGGACGGACGGAGATGAACCTGTCATAGTGTAACAATGCGCGTATTGTTCTAAATAAAATCCTACTAACAAGTGGGCCATGTGAGAGTAGAACAAACGCCTTTTCCAAACATATCTACCGACGGGAATTTACTCCCCTGCACCACATCCATCTAAGCTGGCGTGGCTCTCATGCGTCTGTAACGCATCCTTGACTAGCATCCTCGACCACCTTCACGTACTTGTACAGCGTTCCCTGCGCTACCTTCAGCGGGGGCGCTTTCCACGCTTCCCTCCTGCGCTGCAGCTCCTCTGGAGACACCCGCAGCTCCATCGTGTTCTTGACCGCATCGACCGAGATGACATCGCCATCCTGAACCAGCGCGATCGGTCCTCCCACCTGCGCCTCAGGAACGACGTGGCCGATGCAGAAGCCATGTGAACTGTGCAGAAAGAAAAAATTATTATTTAGAGGGGATGAGCGTGAATTAATTTTTGCAACAATCGCCCGGAAAGACATACCCGCCACTAAAGCGCCCATCCGTCAGACACGCAACGTCGTGACCCAGGCCCGCGCCCATGATCAGACTCGTCGGCTTGAGCATCTCAGGCATACCTGTGGCGGTGGCGGTCAGTTCATGAAAACATCGTCGAAGAAAGGAGCGAGCTACCAGGTCCGCCCTTCGGGCCCAGATACCTGAGCACGACGACAGTCTTCTCGCCCTTCTTGATCGAGCCGCTCTCGACGGCGGCGACAAAGTCATCCTCGGTGTCGAATGCGCGTGCCTTGCCAGTGAATCCGAGCCCCTCCTTTCCAGTGATTTTTGCGACCGCTCCGCCAGGCGCGAGATTTCCGTAGAGGATTCTGTCGATGGTTTGATAATTAGGGTCCTTGCCTGGCAGATACAATTTAGATTTCGACCGCGATTACTAACCTCAAATGCCCAGTTTCCTTGATTGGGTTTTCCAGCGGACGGATAATGTCCTGATTGGTGAAGGAAAGCTCGCCGTGCTCGTGGGTCCACCGCTCTAGATTCTCGCCGAGCGTCCGACCCGTGACAGTGATGTTGTTTCCGTCGATCCGTTTATTTTTCAGCAGATAAGCCAGAATCTCTGCAGATTGTGTCAGAATGTCCGGCGTGACTCCGTCTCCGAGAGAGACATACTGGGAATGCCGCCGAGCTTATACACGTCTTCCATGACATATTTACCGCTCGGCTTCAGATTTGCGAGGAACGGCGTCCTGTCAGACACATTTTGGAAGTCGTCCAGCGTCAGCGTGATGCCGACGGAGCGGGCGATGGCAATCAGGTGGAGCACGGCATTCGTGGAGCCACCGAGGATCATCGTCAGAACCTGTGTGACATGAGCACGTGCGAGCTGCCAATCGGCCACAAAAACAATCACCATCGCGTTCTCAAAGGCCGAGCGAGTCATGATATCGCGCGGAAGAATATTTTTCTCGAGGAGGTTGCGCATCGCAGGCCCGATGGCCTCGCATTCCTTCGTCTTCTCTGGCGACTCGGCAGGGAACGACGAGGACCCGGGCAGCGTCATACCAAGCGCCTCCGCAGCGCTCGCCATGGTGTTCGCCGTGTACATCTTCGGAGACCCCTGTGAGCAGAGGCGCATCAGGGGGCGGCGTGTGACTTACCCCACCGCAGGCACCTGGGCCGGGACAGGCGTAGCGGATCGTTTGATACCGCTCCCGTTCAGCGGCCTCGGTCTTGCCCTCCTGGAGGTATTTCCCATAGGCCTGGAAGGCCGAGACGATGTCGAGCTTTGGCGCGCCCGCACAGGACCCTGCGCGGATGGTGCCGCCGTACAACATGATGCCTGGGCGGTTCAGCCTGCCCACTGGAGTGAACCGACGCATCCGGAAATTAGCACAGAGACCGCGATATTATCGCAGGAGACGCACGGGCTATCAGGACACCGGGCATGTTCTTGTCGCAGCCAGGAATGGTGACCACACCGTCGAGCCAATGGCCTCCAGCCGCTGTCTCGACCTGGTCCGCGATGAGGTCGCGCGACTGGAGAGAATATGACATTCCTCGTGTACCCATGCTAATTCCATCGCTACATAGAGTTACCAGCGATGAGACAAAGCTTCACGGCGCGTATGGGCTATACGCGACAAACCTAACTCCAACAGTCCCAAACTGGTACCCAATGATCCCTGTGTCAGTCAATGACTTCTTGGCTGCTTTACCTAGTCCTAGGAGATGTCGATTGCAGCTACGTTCCATCCATAAGTTCACTCCAGGGTGTGGCACCGTCAACACTTACGGGTTGCCCTCGTACCTGCGTCACTATGAGTCATACCGAGCAGTGCAGCATGTCGCATCGCAGCTCACCAAACACTCGCGACGCCGACCATAGCCTTGTTGAAATCATCGTCGGTCGTGATGCCCTCGGTTGCATAGAGCATGGCCTGGCTCGCACCCTGGCTCTTGCCCTGGGTGACGGTCCGGCTGTAGCGGTTCATGATCACCTTTTCCGCAGAGCGGGGCGCGGACGTCGCGAGACATCTTCGCGAGGCGCGGAGGCGGGAGTGGCACCTGGCAGGGAGCGAGGACGTCCTTGGGTGCATGGTGCTGTGAGGCGCGTGCGGGCGGTGGCTGCGAAAAATACTGATCCCGACGCCACACGGCCAATCGCAGCGAGTCAGATTGATCATCGCCCCTTTTGGGCATATCCAATTCGGCGTCTGGGGCCAATCCTTCCGGCAGTCTCCGCGTAGACTGTGGCCACGAAAGACACGAAATTCGCTGCAAAACTCGCTCTGCACGGTGCAGAAAGAGCAGGGAAACGAGCAGCTCAGTTCGCGAACGGTGTGATCGCCGAGGATCTAAGCGATGCGCAATTCCCATGGAGATATATCGAGATAGCGTTCTGCGCAGGCGACCTTCTTTGCCTGGGAAGTCGTCCGCTTACGGTCGATCAGTGCCACTAGCCGCCCGGAGTCGGTCTGCGCCGTTATTATCAGCACGCCGCTCGAGTTTCAGGCTGAGGCCGTCACCCGCGTCGCCCGGGGACGCGCTGCAGTTGCGCTCGTCAGCGCGGGAGGGTGAGCGAGTGCGACTGCCGCTGGGAACGGGTTACCACCCTCGCGGGCAATCATGTACAATTCCGGAAGGTGTTCTATAGGAGTAGGTCGTCGAGACGAAACATACGAGATTGTCGATCATGTTGCGGGTGTTCGATTATGTGACCTGTGACCGGTGACCCAGGGTAAAGGGACGCCTCGCTCATGATACGATGTTAAAGTCCAACAAATGCGATTTATTTTTTTTCCTTCCGAGAGGCGGTGACGTCCGCATGCGCGGATACACATGACGGGGGAGGAGGGACACGAAAACACGAGGGTGGCTGTCGGACCCCGTTTGAATTCAAATCGGATAATGTAATCACGATGCACAATAGTGAGCCACCCGCTTAGGCTGGCGCAGGCTCAGGACGGCGGATATGCTCACGCACCTGCAAAGCCGAGGCTGACAATGCGCACTACGGCACCCTTCCCGGCTTGGTTTATGCTTGCGGCTCTGCGACCTTGTGCACCAGCGGAAGCAAACTTTAGCGGACCGTGCCCTCGCTCTTTTGCTCCGTTACGGGGGCTCCTAGACCTTTCCGCCCCTCTCTCTGCGGACCTGCAGTTTTCCCCCCCTCTTCTCCTTCCGCGATCCTCCCGTCGAATGGGCCAACCACCTTCATTAACTTTGCCACTGCTGCTTGTTCCGAGCGACATTTGCAACCGCGTTGCCTAGCGTAGCGGTAGCCACTCGAGGAACGGCTCGTCAAGCTATGGCGGGAGACCTCCAGAGCAGGCAACACAAGCAAAGCTCCTTGCCTCCAACCCTCCATTCCCATCTCCTCGCCAGCCCGCAGCCGCATTCAGGTCCCAAGCATGGTGCGACTCAGACGGAGACTTCGTCGGACGGAGAGCATAGTCATCGGTCTGGAGGTCACAGGAATCCACGGTACGCCCAGCACCGCTCTATACCGCCCATATATGCAGGAGATCGCTCCCCCGGAAGACTGGGTCCTGCAGAATGGCCCTTGAGGGAAAGCGAGGCCAGCTCGCCCTCACCGCTCGAAGCGCCAGAAGGCGCTCAGCAGGGCCCCAGCCCTCGTGAATCTCTGCCCAGCCTGTCTGCGACGAGCCCGCAGACATTCTCGCATAGGCATCCGACGCTTCCGCCACTCGGACGATCGCTCTACCCTGCAATCGGGGAACCAGGTCCATCCACGCTCTACCACTCGCACAGGGCCCCTCCGCCTCCAATCCACATCCCACATCCGCACAGATCGGCTGCATCGTCGAGATATCAGGCGGAGCCGTTTTCTCTGGCCGGCGGGGGCTTTCACGAAGGTTCCAGCTATACCGCCGATGCGACGAGGTACGAGAGCCCAGGAGCCGGGCCACTGCGTGCGTACAGCTACACGCACGCACGCGAACTTGGGCAAGCCAGCACGAGGCATTTGCCCGGTCCAGGCATTCCCGACGAGCCGTACGGACCAGATTCAAGGAGTGGCACTCACAGGGGCGTCCCATATCGGTTTGCCACACCGCCACCGGGTGGATACTATGCGCCATACCCCGTGGGGGGATGGGCGCCACAAAGGCCACACCTGCGTCCATATGACTATCGCGACGAGCCCGCCACGAATTTCACTCATGAGCCCGGCTATGATCGACGCTATGAGATGCACGTACACGGTGCTGAGCAGCATTTGCCAGCCCCTCAGCCGCACCATATACACCCTTTTGACCATTCTCGCCATTACAGTTATCCTGGTGAGCTATCTCGGCGCGCTCCATGCGTGGTATGGACTAACCGCCACGTCAGGACCCACATATGTGGGCCATTTGCACCGACCAGGAAGCATACTGCCACCCTATATCGCACCGATCGCCGGGCTGTCGCGTTTAGAGCCGCGGGGGCCACGACCTGGCGAACTTCGAGTGGCGTCTGGCGACAGTTCATACCACTGGATTAGTCCGTTTTCATGTGAGCCGCAGAGGTCATACCCAGGGCCTGGCACGCCGCCAACGCAGGAGCCGCGTCCGGCGTACGTGCGCGACCCGTATATCACTTCTGAGGACGAGCTGCCTCAAGATTCGCCAACGTATTCGCGGACTTCTGGATTCAGCGTCTTTGCAGACTCGCCTCCGGGGATATCGGTGCCGCCTTCTCCAGTGGTGGAGGACGAGGTGCTGCCGAGCTTGAGTCGCCGACCAAGCTGGGACGTGCCTGAGGAGGTACTTCTGCCGCCGTTGAGGAGGCCAAGCCCGAAGGATGCTGTAAGTGCTGAAGTCAATATCAGCCGTCGTGCACAGTTGGAGGAGCGGCAAGCTGCTCGTCCGTCAAGCGGCGGCAAAGGCGATCTAGAAGGTCCGTTGAGCAAGAGCAGCGAGTCTCCTCTCAGCGAACCACCGGTGAAAAAGAGGAAGGGCAAGATTGAAATCGCGTGCGATAGGTGCCGAGGTGCGTCCTGCCTGTGGTCGGCCAACGTGTTGACGTTCCTGACGCGACCGTTCCATTTCAATATTTTCCGCAATGTAGGCAGGAAGACTCGATGCGATGGCAGGACGCCAATGTGCACACTTTGCGAAAGAAATTCTGCTCCATGCGTCTATGCGGACGCGCCTCGAAGACGAGGCAAGGGAAAGGCAAAGACGGCCGCTACGGCGGGCAGTGGTGCCACACGTCCGGAGCGCCCGCGGGTAACGTCCGCGAAACGGCGCGGCCGTCAAGCGCAACTGGCTGGGAGGGGAGGAGGAGCGGATCTGCCGGCCAGTGTACGACCTCCGTCGGGGCCGTTCACGTTCGAGCCACCGGCGCACAGCGCGGGACAACATGGACACATGCACGGGGACACCCCCGTGAGACGAAGATTGCCTCATGAGGTCAATCTCCCGGGGACAATTGCGATCGACCCTCGGCTCACCGTGGGCGTGCGGTCTCGCGCAGAGGCAGTGCAAGCGACGATGGCAGGCGCTGCGGACACGTCTGCGGCCAGCGGCGACGAGGAGAGGAGCAGAAGAACGAGTGTGAAGCGCAAACGCAGGCCGCCCGCAAGCTGACATGTGCACGCGATGCTCGGGCGTCGATTCATCCTCGGACGGAGACACATGTGGACACTCTCGCTGTATGTAAGAAACGCGTATACCCTGAGGAGGGATGATACAGTAATGTCTAATAGGTAGAATACAGCGTGCTAGGGCCTAGACTGGAGATGTTGTACTCGTACGTAACGCGGTTAATAGCGCGGGCAATAGTCCTTGATAAGACGCAGTAACACGCTCTCTGATTGGTGGACTCCCGCCCTCGGATCGCCAGCCTGAGCCGGCGTCTAATCTCGGCGCGGGCCTTGCTGTGATGGCTGCTCTATGATCTCGAACCCCCACCCCCGCACATCCCCTCCTCCATCCCTCCTCCCCGTCCCCCCCGCGGCCATGGACGTCCTCGACCACAGGGCCCACCGCGACGACATCCCCCTCGTCGACGGCCCCTACCCCTTGGCCACCGAGGAGCTCGGCCCTCCCCACTCCATACCAAGTGGCAGCGCCCCCGCCCCTAGAATGGACGGAGAACCCACCGGCTACACGCTCATGGTTGCAGGACGCCGGTCGGGCAAGACCTCCTTTCTACGCCTCCTCCTCGATACCAGCTGTGTCTCTCACACCGTCACCATGGACCAGCTCGCGTCCGTCGCCAAGTTCGTCCAGGGCTGCAGCGGCCATACCTCGCACGTCAGGACCGTGTCCATCGACGTCACCTTCGCGCTCGACGACGCAGACGACCCGCGCCCCCTCAACCTCACGCTCATTGATACGCCCTCCCTCGACTTTGACGACGAGCCCTCGTCCCAGAGAGCCGTTGCGGAGATACTCAGACACGTAGACGCGCGTTTCGCGGAGAGCGTCGACGACGTAAGTCCCCCTCGTGGCTGTCGCCGGGATCCTATTATCCAAAGCGTTCTCTCTCCTACAGGAGCGCAAGGCTCAGACCGGCCATCATCATGTTCATCTGTAAGTATTCCTCGCACGTACATCCCAAATAAGGCATGATTCTATCTGATCCTGTGCCGGATGCTGCCAAGGTGCATCTACTTTCTGGACCCAGAATCCATAGTCCCTCCTTCCGTGTCAGCACCCCCGGTCCCTATTGTAGCACGCGCCCGTACGAACAGTCTTTCCATGCAAGATTCCGAGCCAGTCATTCTGGAACCACCTGTAACGACGAATCCGCTTCTCTGCCGCCCGACATTGCCCGCGGAGGACATTGCAACCATTCGTCGGCTGTCCGCCCGTGTGAACGTCCTGCCTGTCGTCGCGCGTGCGGACATGCTCACGAATGATCGTCTAGCCGCTGTCAAAATGGCCATCCGCAGGGACTTGGCGGAAGCCGGCATTGGGTTTGGAATCTTCGACTTGGACACGTTCCCCCAGTATCCACAGTATCAGCGTCGAGATTCTACAGACCTGACACCCAAGCTCTCGGAGCCGACGAACGGGTACGCCAGCCACACCAACGGCGCGTCTTCGACTGCAACGTCCCCTCCCTCGACGCCGATGTCCCCGTCCTTCTTACGCCTGCCATTTGCTCTGATCTCCCCAGATATTTATTCGCATAGCGACGGGGTTTCTAGACCGACTCCATCTCGTCACGAGCTTGCACTGCAATACACTCCTTTGCAACAGTATTCTAATGGCAGATCTCCGACGCTCTCTAAAATTGTGCTAGGAAAGTTCACGCGGAGCTATAGATGGGGTTTTCTCGATGTCATGGACGTGAATCATTGCGATTTTGTATATCTACGCGGGGCCATTTTTCATCACATGCAGGTACAGTTGCTCATATCAAGGTCGGGAAGTTCCTCGTAGTATCCGCTGACATCTTTTCATACGTCTCCGCTTCCATGCCAGACACTTCAAAAGTATACCAGAGAGTACCTCCTCCAAAAGTTCAGAGCAGAGGTGCCACAACCTCTTCACTCGCTACCACCGACTCGCGCGGCACAACCGTCTATGCCAATGCCGACCAGACTCCCGCCTCTCTCGCAGGCCTCACGACCGATCCTCGCAATAGATACGACTCATGGGGCCCCTCAACAACATCTCCCGTCTCAGCCGGTCGCCCGTCCTAGTATCACGTTGAACGGTGATGGCGCTTCGCCTCCTGTCATGGCGTCTCAACCTACTGCGATGCTCTCGGAAACGTCTCCGGCAACACCGCCGTCTACGAGTCAGTCTCCTCTCCTTCTTACACAGCATTGGGGTCGTTGTGACGGCGTGTTTTGATGGGTCGACTCGCTCCCTGTGCTGACATTTCTCCTCTCGCACAGAATCACAACGTGGCCGAGCGAAGAAGATCACAGTCGCGTGCAATTTCTGCCGCTGTAAGTGAGCCATGCCTCTGCACTCTCAGGACTGACACGGATTCTATTGCAGCTCGTAAGCTCAAGTGCGACGGCGGGAGACCGGCATGCAGCCAATGCTTCAAGCGGTCACATCCGTGCGATTACACGACCAGTAACAAGCGCCGTGGCAACGCGAAGTCGCGGAAACAGTTCGGGGGCAGTGAGAGCGAGGGCGAGAGCTTGGAAGAGCAGTCGACATTGGATATGGAGAACGCCTCGCAGTCACCTGAGGTCGTTTCTCAAACTCCCTCGCGGCGAAACTCGAACGTGAGCATGCTGCTGACAGAGTCGCTCCCGCCGTTGAGCAGCGCGATCGACCGGGCGGACGACCAGTCGACGGTGTTGCCTCCCATTACGAACACGACATCGATGGGTGCAATGTCTACGGAGGCGCGGCCGGAGCTCCCGCCTATCGTGACGCTTTCTGTCCCACCTGCCAGCATGCAACGAGAGGATCCGGCAGGGAACGGTCAGATGACGCAGCGGCGGCGGGCCTCATCCGCGGCGTCAGGCAGGCCTACCGGGCGGTCCAGTCATGGCTCGAAAATTGTGGCCTGCAATGTGTGCCGAGGTATGTGTTTGCGCAGCAGAACGAGACGAGCGTTTGATTTACATCAAATGTTTAGCGCGCAAGACGAGGTGCGATGGCGCGCATCCGACGTGTGGGAGCTGCGCCAGGCGCTCGTTGGCGTGCAGCTACGTAAACGACCCGTCGACGAGCAGGAGTCGTGGTAGTAGGGGTGCTGGTGTCACTCCGGGGCCGTCGACGTCAACGTCGTCCCGCTCTTCGCCCACCGCTCCGTTACATTTTACGTCGTCAAGACCACTGACTCCGCGAGGATATACCCGCACCATCCTCGCAGTAGATATGAGCGCTGCCGACCAAGTTGGACAGCCGATGAAGAAAATGCGGATGGCCGACGACGGCCGGGCGACCATCGCGGTCGCTCAAGCGCCGTAAGCAGCCTTCCTCGTGCGCGGGACTGTTGTAGAGTTTTTCCACTGTCATCTGTACTGTCCTTTCTTCTGCTGCATTGCTTGGGTTTATGAGAGTCCGTTGTCACCAAATGGGGTGTGTACCATAGTTATATATATTGACATCAAAATCAAGAATCAACGTGCTGGTACTAGTTCTGGGAGCGGACAATTGGCGGTGACACGGCCGCCTTTTGAACGAGTGGCTTGCTGGCGTTGGCCCGCCGTCTGCGGTGCGTGAGGCGGGTGGCGTGCGGCGTTTGGAAGGGAGGGACACGGTTGACTTGGCGTCTCGTGTTGCTAGAATTTGACGATGGCGATAACTCGAGCTCGATGCTCGGCTGCGCATGTGCGGAGCGCTGGCAGCGCCGTTCTCCGTTGACTATACCTGGGTGACCACAGACGCGTCCCCGTCCTGAGAATGGCCCATTCAATCGCTATCGGTGGATGCTCCTCGAATTGCTCACACGAGGGCCTGCAGGTTGATGCCTTGCGCCTGAGCGGATCTTGTTCGACGCGCTCGGGAGCCTGTGTATGATAGAGACCCTGCACCCAGACGGAGAACTGTCGTGAGGTTCGCGGTCGGATTCAAGGTGCGGTGGCACCGTATTGCCTGAAGGAGATGGTCCCATGATTCTGCTGCGGAAGCTGGTCAGAAGTCCATCAGAGTTGGCAGGACTCTGGACGGGATGCGACTGCGTGGTGTGCGTGGAGGTAGAGTGAGAAGACGGAAGCTCCCCGGGCTCAGGTGGGCGAAGTACGGCGCCTACTTGATATGGAGATGGGCGGCGGTCACGCGCCGCTGAGTCGAAAATGGGAGGAAGGACGGGCGGTTAAATGATTGTTGATGGAGGTAACCATTCGTAGACCTAGACGTCTCTTTGTCGTGTACAGTTTTGCGCTGGTCGTGCCGTACGAGCAGCGCTCACACATTCCTTTTTGATACCCTTTCTCTGCTACCAACGTCGACGCCATGTTCGGCTTTCGCTGGAGGTCGCGTACAAAGGCTGAGCCCGATCGGAGTGGGCCGCCATACATTCGCACTTCACCGTCCCTGCCGGAACTGGCGAGCGAAGGAATACCATGGCCGGAGAACTTGGTTGATCCAGCATCTGTATCTCAAGCGGACGCTGCATCGCCGTCGGATCCCCCGAAAGGTGCGGCCAAAACTCTCTTTCGTGCAGATGGCTCCGGTCCCATTGCGTTCCATAAACCATGGTCGTTACCAGACAAACCTGCGGGCGGGACCATATCGGCACTGTACACTTCTCCCCCGCCGCCGCCTCCGCCTTCTGCATTTGAAACGCGCAAGCAGCCTGCTCGCATTCGCACGCGGGTGAATCAGCGTAAAGTGCGCGCTCCGACGAGCTTCAATGTGATGGTGTGTGGTCGTACACAGCTCTTCTCCTGTCCATCCTGGGTAGTGATGTGATTGTCGCAGGTTGTCGGTGCTCAGGGTACAGGGAAGACGTCCCTTCTCCGGCTGCTGCTGGACACTGCCGATGTCTCGCCAACCGCCACGCCCGAACAGAAGGCGTCGATGGATCGCTTCCTGAACGGCAGACCGAAACGCACAGAGTCCATCCAGACGACGTGCGTGGAAATCTGCGAATCGCGATACGATCGCATCCTGCTCTCCGTGATCGACACGCCGGGTCTTGACTTTCATGAAGGTCACGAGCTCAGACTCGAACGTCAGGTCACCGGAGTCGTCAAGTACCTCGATGCCCAGTTTGCGGACACGTTGAGCGAGGTGCGTTTTCTCTTCTGCGTCAGATTGATCTTTCCCTCCCCTCCCCTCCGGCACGCCTCTTTCGCCGGCGACGTTTAAAATGTTGCCACGTTCATTTACATTAATCTCTTGGTTCGCGAATGTTCTCGCCTCGCGCAGAGCTGAACTCACCAATCAGGAGTCCAAGGTAGTTCGGCAAAGCAAGGGAGACCAGCACGTGCATCTGTAAGAAGCATCGATTTCGTATACCAGATTCAAATTCATCTCGACTCGCTCCCTAGATGCATATACATGATCGATCCTAAATCTATCATGAGCACCTCACTGCGGCGTGCCTTGTCCTCGCTTCCGGAAAAGACACGTTCACAAGCAACCATCTCTCACCCACCGGACCTCTCGTCCTTCTCAGACGACTCCACCTCGGACGACTCAGACGACGAGTCCTCGAGCGAACTGACAATGTCGCCCGCGGACCTCCGAGTAATCAAGCGTCTCTCCACACGCGCAAACGTCCTCCCGGTGATCGCACACGCAGACTCGCTCACGGACGACACCCTCGCGGAAATGAAACGGGCCGTGCGACGTGATCTGCACCGTTCCGGTCTCGACTTTGGCGTCTTTGGGCCTGTTCCGGAGGAAGACCCCTCGAGCAAGCGCTCGACGAAGGTGGAAGCGCACCAGGATGCTAACGGTTCTGCCCAGCATGAGGACAGCGAGCCTGAGGAAGAACCTGTGGAGGAGCGGCGCTCGCGTCCTGTGATCAAGCTCCGTCCCACGCGGCACGCGCAGGGTCGCCGTTCGTCGCGTTCGCGTTCGCGCTCCCGCATGAGCCTGTCTGAGCTCGCGGCACACGAGCAGGCCCTGCCCGACACGACGGACGCAGAGAGCATCGCGAGCGTGCGCTTTTCCGCGCATGTGGTCTTCAAGAACGACCTCGGTGCTCAGCTGCCTTTCGCTCTCATCAGCCCCGAGCGCATCCGGCGTGGGCGGCCACTCAAGCCACCCGCGCCTCCACCTGGACTAGATCGTCGCTCCGTCCACACCGACACTGGGACAGTCGTCACGACAGCGTTGTCGGAGGACGGCCACGCGGTTTCGACGGCAGAGTCGACGCAGGCATCGCCAGTGACGCCTACGAGCCCGATCTCCCACCGCAACCTTCCCCTCCCGTATCTGGCCGGCCCACCGGCTGACCTGAAGGGCATGTTCACCCGCAAGTTCAGGTGGGGGACGATCGACGTGCTCAACCCTGCGCATTGCGATTTTGCCGCAATGAGGATTGCGGTGCTGTCGACGCATTTGAAGGTGCGTGCACCTGCTGCGGGGGACCTTTGACCTGGTGTGTTGAGTAGAGTGCGTGATCGCAGATGCTCAAGATCAGGACGAGGGAAGTCTTGTATGAGCAGTTCCGCACCGAAAAGCTGCTTGCGAAGCGCGCGACCTCTCAGTTTACAGAGGCGGAGACGCGCAAACTGCTGGCAGGTACGTAGGCCGGTCCGTCTGAGGTTTCTGTAACTCACCTTGCCATCAACTCGCAGATCTTGGGATTTGAATCTTTCACTAAATTATGCCGTCCTCTTGGCTTACACGCTCCTTGAAAGTTCTTTCCGTTCCTCTAGATACTAACGTTATGATACTAACGTTATCCATGCATATTTGTTTGTTCTTGGAAGTGTCTGTCGAGCTACGTTACCCCCGATCCTGTTGCTGCTTTGTACTCCTAGTTGTAGTCTTGTGCTGGTCAGATTATACCCTTGATGCGTCAGTTATCCAGTTCTTTACATAATTCATCAAATGGTCGCATTTCGCGCTGTTGCTGTTACCATTATATGTGCTACTTCCAAATGACGTTTCTGTTGTTTATCAAGCAAGAGAGCTGATGAAGCATAGAACTAATACATAGGTGAAATATTGCATCTAGCGTCGATATCTACGGCATTGCCACCATGGTCCGGTGTTCATGAATTCTTGCTGCCTCTCAACTCGTCGATATTCTCCTTCGACAACCCTCCTAGTCTCACAAGCAAATAATCGACCTGTCTCACCGAATGAGCCACGTCATCTCGTTTTGTAAACGCACGCACCTCAACCTCCTTGGTGAGCGGAATGATGTAATGTTCATACAGCTCAACCACACCATCGACGTCAATCTTGCGTGTCGTAGCATCGTCGATAGGCTGCCCGTCCGGCGCAAAGTTCAGCGCGTAAAGCTCAGCCTTCTTGCGGAGGCGCTGCAGGAGCTTGCGCTCGACTTCGGGCTTGGTGATGAGCGCGTCCAGAGCGGCTCGATTTGGGTTCAGGATATGTGGGATGAATGCGGCGGGGTCGTCACGGAACTTGGACTCGGACACGAACTTGCCTAGTGGTGTGAAACCACGGATCGCATGGACAGACCAAGCAGGGGATTGGCGCAATCAGCAATCTGCAGGACACATCCGCCTGATCAGACAGGTGCGGGGCAGCGGACGCTCACCGTAATGCACGCGCTTGCTGATCGCTTGCAGCACCTCGACGTCGATCACCGCCGCGCTTCCGTAGTTCCCGTCGTCCTCATACTCGTCGTCGCCGATGATGCCCTGCGCACGCTTCGCCGCTGCGAGTATGAGCGTTGCTTGGCGAGTTATGCGCGGGACGATGTGCCGCGTGTAGAAGCTGAGGATGGAGGCATTTGCGTTGACCTTGTTCGGGTACAGGATCTGCGGGATATCGAGTGGCTTTAAGATGGGGGCTGGAAGTTCGGCCGGATCTGTGAAGGGATATTCGTCCGGGCTGCGACCGTATAACGCGAGGATCAGATATTGATGCAAACGGGCGAAAGATGATATGCACCTTGTGTATCTCCGTGCCTTAGCTGCAAGACTCAATACGTCAGCGAGATCTGCGTGTCGGAGGCATCAACACTAAAGCGTACCATGGAACGACTCAATCTCCATCAAGAACCATTCCAACCAACTGCCCTTGAACCCGACATCCAGCAGCTCCTGGAACTCACCGCGCCGGTACATGCGCGGGTTGTGCGCGAACTGGGCGCGCTCGATCAGGCCAAAGATGATCGTGTCCTCCAGACGGGTGAGGATGGACCGTATCCTGTCCAGCGACAGCGGGTCGTCGGTGAGCGTGAAGTTCTGCTGGGCTGCCGCCATGATGGTTAGCGAGAGAGGCGCGACGGTCGTGCTAGGGCACAGTGACGAGTCAGGTTAGCGTCGGATGGTGGCTTGCGAAGCCTCTGATATCTACTCGAGGGAGGCATTTGGACTTCCGACTAGGTCAACTCCATGGTGCCAAATCCCAGGCGCTGTTCGCAAGGACCCGCGTGTCGTTGGTAAGATGGAAAATCAGAGCAAGTCGTCTCACGGTCGTGACTGTCGGCGTTCACGGTGCCGAAGCTGGCACCTGTCTGGACAGTAGCATCCAAGATACATCCTGTCGGGTTCGCACTGGCGAGGCAAACACATCTCATTGTGGTACCATCACTGTTTGCTAATCAGAGAAAAACACCGTCTCCCGGTAAGAGCTTCAATAGAACGGTTTTTAAAGAGGTCTGCAAGCGTGGGAAAGCTGACCTGGTGAATACTCTGGGCGCTTGTGCGATCCACCGCCTGCAACGTCAGAACAGAACTTGAAGTTGAACCTTTGCCTTCGTATTAGCTCAGTCTCTCCGTTCCTGCGCATGCTGTACAGCTCAAACTCGAAGGCGCAAATGCGTCTCGATGGACGTGGAATGCCAGCTCTGCATATACGGATGACATCATTTTTGCAAGAGGCACGGCCGATATATCCGTGCTGAAGTTGGCTTTTGTGTCGCAGTATATTCTTATCCATCGCTCCTAGTATGAAGACGAATGTCGCAGCAAAAACCCTGTTAACTGGAGTGGCTTTGCCTTGCCGTCATAGCGGTACAGGCATACGCAGGCGATGGGAATCCAAGAGACAGCTTCCGAGGCAAATGACCGTCAATGTCTCCGTCGTGCGTCACTTAAGTATTGGCTTTAAGCACCACCTGCACTAGCCGGTATGGAGGCGGCACAAAGTTGTACAGCTCGTTTTCACGCTATGTCTTATGTGGTAGTCGAGTTATCAGCTGGTACAAAGGGAATTCTCATTGACTTCGCAATTTCGCAAACGTCCAATTGTACTTGGTCTCTAAAAAGGCCTGTCATATGAGTCCGGCTCAATTGCGACTTGCATGCCCTTGGTTCAACGGTATTTTATCCCTTAGGCTAGCAGCTTGACCAGCTCCGCTCAATCCGAAGCTGGGCATTCGACGTGAAGACCTTGCATTGCACAACAAGTCTGCCAAGCCTGTACGAACTGGGAAATGCTCTGCTTCTGACTCCAGCGGTCTTCCGTGCTCCTCTATCTGATATGACTCATCCCGCTTCTTCACGGTTCAGGAATGCGCTATTCTTGGTTCTGCTCAACGCAAGAGATAGGATGGCGCTCAGCTGGCCATTATGTCTAGATGCAACGCTCGGTGGCCGCACCTGCCGTTTATCTCGTTGAACGCTGGGTTGTATACTTGCTTTGCTGGTCGCTATGTCGAGTCATATTGTCAGGCGGGATGAGAAACGATCGCTTGCAACAGTGACCGGAGGAGGGCGGCCGACCGTGTATTCTGATCGACGTCACAAATTACAAGGTAGAGGAAGTTCTCGGAGTGAAAGTCAATTAACAGCCGAGTTTGTGAACAGTTAGGGTTGACGTGATGCAACATGCTCGTTCTTTAGATGTCCCGACGTGCAATCGTTGGCCCGCAAACGTACTTGTGCTCCCGCTTGCTCGCTCCAGCTTTCCAGCTTTATATGATATCATAACGCAAAACAGAATTTGAAGTCAGCGACGTTGGGGGGAGGGGGGATTGCTGAAATCTCATCCGATGACCAGTCACCGACCCGGAAGCATTGTCAATTGCGGCCCTCGACTCCGCGAAGCACGTTCCACCGACCGCTTCTTTGGGGCAGCTCCTCTCGGGCGATCCGTGATCATTTGACGGGGGTCCTCCCTAGTTCCGTCTTGATAAATACCGGCCAACGAGCGTCGAGTTCATCCGGACCCTCTTCCGATCCTACACTTCGAGCATCCCGTCTACAGTACTCGTCGAGAAAAATGGCACCTCCAGCTGCAACTCTCCCTCAGCGCACGGACGAGACGATCTTCGCGTCGAAGGTCAACATCAAGATGAACGGGGCACACGCAAACAATGGCGCGACGTACGATGTTCTCGAGGATTATGAGGGAAACTACCGCTTCGCCCCTATTGAGGAGGCGCAGGTCTCAAGGGCCATGATCAAGCGGTGAGTGCTTCATGCGATGCGGCTGACACTGCTTATATACTGTGTGCATCTAAAGGTACTTCAACACGATGTACGAGCGGGCTGTGTCAGACGTGGTAATCATCGGAGCGGGCAGTGCAGGATTGTCCTGCGCATACCACCTTGCGAAATCTCGTCCAGACTTGAAGATTACTATCATTGAGGCTAATGTCGCTCCTGGTAAGCTGTACACATTCACAGCAGCGGAGGGCATCAGATATTCACACACCGATTAGGCGGTGGTGCCTGGCTAGGTGGCCAGTTGATGACGCCTATGGTACGTCTGCCCGACTTTGAAAATCCTTCGCGATCGTAAGCGTTCTTTGCAGATCGTCCGAAAACCCGCGGACCGTTTCCTCACCGAGATCGGTGTCCCCTTTGAGGACGAAGGCGCCTTCGTCGTCGTCAAGCACGCCGCACTCTTCACCTCCACCATCCTGTCGCGCGTTCTCACGTTCCCGAATGTCGTCCTCGTGAACGCCACCGCTGTCGAGGACCTCATCGTACGCACCGACTATGCCGGCCAGCAGCGCGTCGCGGGCGTCGTCACCAACTGGACGCTCGTTGCGCTCAACCACGACACGCAGTCGTGTATGGACCCGAACGTCGTCACCGCTCCGGTCGTCATCAGCGCGACGGGCCATGACGGACCGATGGGCGCGTTCTCTGCGAAGCGCCTCGTCAGCATGGGTCTGCTGAAGGAGCTCGGCAACATGCGCGGACTCGATATGAACAGGGCTGAGCCTGCCATTGTCAACGGCACCAGGCAGGTTGCACCGGGTCTGATCATGACGGGCACGTTCATTTTCCTCGATGCGCTTGGATGTGGCTCACGTGTGGACGTTCAGGTATGGAGCTCTCGGAGCACGATGGCTCGAACCGCATGGGCCCGACGTTCGGTGCTATGATGGCGAGCGGAATCAAGGCTGCTCGTGAGGCTATCCGCATCTTCGAGACCGCTCAGATCGCCGACGGCAAGGTGGTGGGGTGAATGTCGAAGTCCGCAGTAAATGAGAGAGGCGAAAGAGGAACTCAAACGTGTAATTTTCACTGTAGTTGAACTATGTAGCCGCACAAAACGCTGTCGTATTACTAGTAATGGCACACTGGCACCGAGTTAGTGAGGGATAATCCGAGGTTGATGGATGCAATTCCTCACGAGCCAGAGGATTAGAGTGAGCTTGACTCGTGTGAGTACTTGAGTACTCAATGAGTGCTGTCGCGACTGTCCTGTCCACTTTTCGTTCATCGATAATTTCTATGTGATACCAGGAGCAGCATCTATTCCTCGTATATACTTCTAGACTTGAATGTACATCTTCTCCTTGAGCATCGGATTCGGATGGCTGCCAGCATGGCGCACCAGGACGAACCAATTGCTCACTAGCAACTCCCATACCACTGTGACATCGGCTCGGCGACTAAACCGCACCAGCATAGTGCGTCTTCACCGGGCTATCTCTATAATATAGAGGCATCGATCGGGCTAATATGAATATTCCTGATGAGAAGTGCAGTACAGGAAGGGAGAATGGTCTAGTATGACGTGGCTTACGAATAAGAGAGGACGAGTGGAGAGCGAAGACCAGGAACGAGAATGATGCGAGTATAGCATGCGACGAGAGATGCAGTGATCAGTCCTTATCAAATGCCGAGGACCGCGACTGCTCGACCAGCGACAGCGAAGCGATATATACGCCATGCGACGAATGCAGAGATCGAGAGGAAATTCGCGTTTACGAAGTTGCCCAAACCTCCCTCCACGCCTGCCCACTCCGCACGCACACCTCTCCCACCGCGCGCCACAAGCCTGCGATGGGTCCAAACCCATATCCATATCCGACGCCAAAATCAAGGCCGGGCAAGTCCATCGAGATCGCCAGCCCCGCACGCAGAGCCCTGGTCGCATCTTCTTTCGCGCTCAGGAGAAGCTTGTGCGTGCCGTGCAGCGTGGGCGGGAGGTCGGGTGTCAACTCCAAGTCGCGCTCGGTATCGTCTGGGGACGACGAGTCCGTCGAAAGGGACGCCTCGGAGATCGTAGGCGAGGCTGGAGCGAGTTCGACCTTGTGCCCGGGAAAGAGCACGGACTCGGCGTCCTCAGCGTGGGGCGGGACGTGCGTGAGGAGGCGGAGCGCAGGCTCGTCCAGGTCCAATGCGAACAGCTTCGAAACCAGCGATAGTAGCGGGATGCGCACGCGCGGCTGCATTGTGTGTTTCTCAGCCCTCTCCATCGATGCCCTCGCTCGGGCCGAGTATCCTGTCAAACTACTCCCCGTCGTCGCTCGTGATAACGTGCTCCGGGAACACGGAACGAGTCGCATGCGAGAGTGAGCCTGATGAAGTGGCTGCGTGCGCCGTGTCTGCTGGGAAGGTGTGTCGAGGGCGATGCCCCAGCGGCCATGGCGCTCAATCTCCTCTTCAAGGACCCACGATTCGGTACCATCTAGGTCCCCATCTAGAGCCAACGGTGACGGCGAGCGTCCATCCCAATCCCAGAGCTCGACGTCGGGATCGGAGTCATCTGTGACTACGCATGGCGAACCGGACAGCGGCGATGGTGAACGAGCACTCGTACTGAGACTGAGGTTCTGAGTCTCGATGGCATGATGCGAGGGATGATGACGTGGGCGGGGACGTCGTCGAGTGTGCGAGCGCGAACGCGAGGAGCCCGGGGAGAGTGATGAAGACGGAGAATAGGAGCTGGGGAAGTCAGTCGGCACGGACCCAGAGAAGAGCGTAGAGGCTGGGCTGGGCGGAGCGGAGGAGGGATTGGGGAAGACATAGATGGAGTGATCGCCGAAAGTGAGGTCGATGGTGGGCAGATCGACCTGCTCACGTTCACTCACCGTTCGGACGGACGGCGAGGGGGTAGAGGAGGACTGATGGCGCGCAGGAGGCGTGTAGTACGTCGCCATAGCTCAAGATATGCACTAACGCTGATGAAAACCACTCGCCGGTCGGGAGATGGTGCTGTTAAGTGCGCACGTAGGTTTGGGAGACGTGAACGACCGGACTCGGACACAAGCTGCGCCTATAACTGCCCGCTCTCGGCTAAGGTTGCAACGTTGAACGTTGACGACGCGTTTCGTGCGTGTTGTGCAAAATGCTGTCGTGAAACCTTGTCAGATGATGATCAGGCAAGGATGGGATGGAGCCCAGATGGCGATGGACGCACCTCAGCGGACCTGGTCCGCGGCTACAGGATGGCCACCGCGTGGCGTAGCAATTGAATCCTTTTTGTGTATTCTGTGGGATGAATACAGCTGAGACGTCCCTGCCACGGGACAGTGCACCAAACACGGTGAGGTGAACGAGAGAGGGCAAGAGTACCGCCTGCAGGTCCGCCGGGGGCGGACGCGGAGGACTGGTGGCGGTGGCCCTCATCACACCATCTTTCGTGTGCCAGCGCCTATTGCTTACTTTCTTCCTCTCCCCATGGGCTGTGTATATGCACTTGTTGAGAACAAGTGTGACTCATGCGAAACAGGCGGGCTTACTTGAGGTACGGTGTATTTCTATCGATGAGCGTTAACCGAGCAGTCAATTTGTGCGGACTATAATGCGGGAGAGCTGGTCGCCGCTGTGGCCCATTTTAGTTCAGCACAACATTGTCACACGTGTCACGTTGCTTTGAACTCATCCTTCGACCATGACCGCCATGGCTCTGACACTGTATTATTGCATAAAGCATGAAAGATGCACGCCTAATGAACTAGAAGTTGAACCTTCGACAACTTTATTCATGTCCGTAAGAAGATTTATCAGACGCAGAAGGTGTTGTTCTTCGAACGTGAAAAGATCGCCTTAGATTATATCGACTTGTATGCAGTGCATTGTCCTCGAATTCTGTCGAAAGTTCTGCTCTGCTCACCACAGGATCAGCCTGCCAATCTGAGCATATTACCTGAGGAGAGTCTACTCCAACGGACCACAGAGAGCTTGGAGTCTTTGGAGCCTCTTGAACCAGCCGATGCGGTCCAGGATGTCATCACGGAAGATGCGTTGGACAAGGACAAAAAGTTGATTCATCTCGTGGTTGTCCATCGTACAGCTGGTGAGTAATCTCCCGTTCCTGATTATTGTCATAATTGATTTTTGCAGCCATATCTATTCTGGCCAAACGGCCGAGCCTTTCAGTGCAGGACAAGAATTCGCCTCCGAAGCGCATGAGGATGCAGAAGGTTGCTTCCATACCTCCATTTACAGTTGCAAGGATCAGTGTGCTTGCATCCATACAAAACGACTCGGAAGATCGTGTGCTTAATGATCGTCCGAAGACCAACATGGACATTGCGCCCATAGCCCTGCTATATGAGGGATTTGGTCAGTTCCAGGACGAATTTTCTGCTTGCGAAGGGCCCTTCCAGTTGGATATCACCAGAACTGTCAACTTGATCAACTTGATGACAAAATTTGCAGATGCGATGTGCACATCCTATGCAACGGAGGATGAGCGGTGCACAAAAGCGCTTCCGCTCCTCAACGAGATTTCAAGGTCTATCATCTCGATCCTAGTATCGTTGTGGACGACATTTGTCCCTCCGAAATTCCTCGATGCAATGCATGCACGGACGGATATTCCGTATCGGCTACCGGAGCCTGCGATTTGGTCGTCGAGTTCAGGCGAGATGGAGATAGCGGAAGCGATGCTGTTGCGCAAGGCGTTTCGTATTTGGCTCATCGTCACAGGGATACCGTTGAGAAAAATGTGGCTAATGAGCATGTGTACGATGAATGGAGGGTTCCCGCTCTTCTGATCACCGTTGTAGGTGAGCTATCTGCGCTGTCAGATCGAGAACCTGAGAGCTGACTCCTGCCATCCAGGGGCCACGATCTCATTTCATGGGCTCGTCGTCCTAGGCAATCATCGCATCGTCCCTCTCACGCCCAAGCTGACTCTGACAAATCCTAATGTGGAACCTGAATTTCGGCAGCAAGTTATCCGCGCGTTCATGGCTGCCGTGAAAGTGCGCCGTCGAATACGCGACGACACTGAGACTATGCTGCGCGAGGCCGACCGTCTTCCTGTGCTCACGTTAGAGCAGATGCGGTTTCCGAACATCAGCTCCGTCACTACCGCCCAACACGGATCTCAAGCACGAACAGACTTTACCATCAAGAAATCTCTTCCTCCCTCCCACAATCGCTTCCTCTACTGCGCTAAGACACCTGAGGGGTCGGATATTCTTGTGAAGTGCACTCTTCGATACTCTCGAGAGCTGTACGAATTCTGCGCAGAGAGGGAGCATGCCCCTAAGCTGTTAGGGTTCGAAAGGATCCCTGGCGGCTGGTTCATCGTTGCTATGGAACTCGTTAAAGGCGAGCTTCTGTGCATCAGGGACACTTACAGGTCGGAGTGGAAGGCCGGTCTGGAGGGCGTTGTAAATCAGTTTCATGACGCAGGCATGGTCCATGGCGACCTTCGGGACGTCAATCTGCTCATATCCGACACAAACGAAACGAAAGCGATCATCCTGGACTTCGATTGGGGAGGAAAGGCAGGCGAGGTTTATTATCCCCTCTGCGAACCTTCAAGCGGATATCGGCTTGACCGGCATGCGGTCCTTGGCGATTACCGTCGACGATGATAATCGTACGCTGAACACCACGCTGGAAAAGTACAGTGTGCAAGACGTATAGACACTGCCGATGACTTGCAGTGCGATGTTATGAACACCGGGTATTGGTGACTGTTAATACTTTTTGCGGCATTTGACAATAAATAACTCAGGTAGAAATAGTTTCCACGGGTCAGGAACGTCACTGGGATCATCCACGGCGATGTACGCATGAGCACAGCTGCTTCTGCGGACGGTGCCATTTGCTATGATTCTGGTAATCTGGTAATTTGACGGTGAAGTCACACCGAATCGGGCCAGCCGTCTTACCAAGTGGACCATATGCGCGAATACTGGAAGCAAGAGCCTCAGAATACACCAAATACATCCCTGGCAAGGCCGGTCTCGCGAGCCGAACGGTACACATGACAAACAAAGCTGAATGCTTGTTTGGGCTTCTAGTCATTTGTCTGTGATCAGTCATCAAGGCGCACCTGTATGTACATTTAAATGTAACTATTTTCTGAAGAGCATTGACATCCCTAGCTTGACGGATCCTATCGATATGTAATGGCGCGGCGGTTTTCGATGTTGCGACCTCGGACAGATGCAAAATGCAGGCACGGATTCATGGGCCTGATGATCAGGCTAGAGACGTCAGACGGGTTTGGTCAACCGCTCTCACATTTCTGCTCTTTTATGCAAGTTGCTCTGCAAAGACTTTCTGTCATTTCTGCCTTGAAAGCACCGTTCGATAGGTAGGTATCGATAGGTAGGTATGCATGTCAATGATATGAAATTCTGTGACCTGGATTTCGACTCGCCAGAGTTTGCACACGACCATCCTGATGCCGCGTAATCAATATTTGTAGATCTAGCACAGATGAGATCGTAAAGGTGTGGAAAGCCCTGCCATGCAAGATGCATAGCTCACTTTACATTGTAGGTCTTACTGTTAGAGCAGCCATTTCCACGGAGAAAATCTCATGGCCGTCTAGCTATCCTTCTGATTGGTGGGGCAGCATGCGAGGAACCCACTCTATCACACGTAGAGCAAGATGAGGCGTAGCGACCGCGCCAATGAGGGGCTAGACGGAACGCTGTTGCAGCACAACGGAATTATACACGGTTTTCTATTGACTGGGTTGGGATAGGAAGACAACGTGCGCGCCGCCCGCCTGTTTCTCGCCCTCGGCGCTGCTCTTTGAGGCCTCACTAGCGGGATGGCGGTTGCGGCGAGCCGTTGACAATGCATGGAGGCGCGAGTGCCCGTTGATACTCGGGAGGGTGGATGCGGCGCTGGACGGCCGGGATCGTATCGGATTTCCACATACGACACCTGTGATATGTGGGAGGCGATGTGAGCTTGGCTTGTTGGTATGCGCTGTGCGGGCTGTGGGTGGGTGTGGACTGATATGACTGTCTTTGGCGAGTGACTCGATTGCTTGGGTAGGGAGATGCTGATCCTCCTAAGGTAGGGCTTACGGTGTACAACGGTGAATGAAGCATCCTCGGGGCATGTGCAATATATAGCATTACTCAGCATACGATGGTGTGCTATGTGTCCTATTGACTCACGGCCGGCGTGCACAGTGCTCGCCTAGCGGGTTCAAGGACCAGGCACATTGCGTGAGTGGTGGGTTGATAGATATCCGAGCGAGTCGCCGGGCTTGTTGGACGCATGGACCAGCACAGATATTCTGTTAGAAACGAAAACTCTGGGCAGCAGATGACGGGTGCTGTAGAATTGATTAACTCACTCACGGATTCGGAGAATTGTGTGCAGGAATGATAGAAGGAGAGAGGCGAGGATGTGTGTGACCTGCGTGGAGCATGTTTGGGGGTCGCGGGGCATGCTCTCCCAAATGGAATATTGTACTGCCACCTGAGGCCGCACGTCGATGACGGCAGCAGGACCCTTCATTTTTCTCGACCAAGAAGTGCGCATCTAGAGGAATGAGACTACCGTAATTGTTGGAGACATATTGGTCACAAACTCGCAAGCATCAGACGTTTCCGAGCGAAATGGGATGAAAGCTCGCTCCGGCTAACAGATAGTAGGTCTTCACACGTTAGAGGAGTCACTGGCGTGGACTACATGGGAACATTTTCACGAGCGAGGATTAAACACCGGATTGCGAGTGCTTGCGCCTGTTTGACCCGAGTATCAACGTGCGCCTCGGCATGATAGAGGAGAATTCTGGGAAGAGGTAGCATTGCTTCAGGAGCAGTCGAAGTGTGAGTATGAGCCTGCGAAGACCGCCGATGGACGTGCCATACCTGGGAGTACGCAGGAAGAGATAAGAATACCTGCGATATGCATTGATGGCTCATGGATCAGCCTTCGTAGAGAAAGACACTCGCTTCTCTATATTCACATTTGAGATACCGGAAATAAATATGAGTAATGTGCCTTCTTGTCGATGCATGATACGTGCACGATGAGGCCTGAGGCGTCATCGCATGCGCCACACAAAACGTCTGCAGGTGATAGTTTCATTGGTATGCCCTAACACCGCTTCATTTCTGGATGACACGTATTTGCCCGAGTCATCTTGACGCAAACTTTATGCTGCCAGGAAGCAAAATCAATGCACATCCGTTCAAACAAATCATGCATCGCAGACATGTCAGACCTTTGAAACTGCTGATACGAATTTCGCAACGCCGTAGCGCTTGAAGCATTAGTTCGCGTTATCATAACGTCGATGGCTTTGTGGGTCGGCATCCCCTAGCCTTACAAGCATACGAGAAAGTCAGGAAAGCCGCAGATTTGCTACAGGCGTCGCAAATCTCTCTGTCAAGCATACCAAACGCATGATGCATGGCATCTGATGCAAGTTGGTACAAATTAGGAATGCTCCGAGCAATGGGTTCGAGGCACGGACCTTCGTAGTCTCCTGAGGTCGACGTGCTGAGACGGTTGTCCCACCGCCCTTTTGGAGTCTATACTAGTATAGTGTTGATGGGATTGGTACCTGAAAAAGTCGATAGTGGGATGGAGCAGTGATAGTGCGATGGGGTCACCGATATAGTGGGATAGCAGCGCCGATAGCGGGATAGTGCACACGAGGTCATTCGCAGCAGGGCGGGGGTCGGGATCTCCCAATATTTGCGGCGGCCATTGATCAAATATGGCAGCGATATTGCCCGATCGGTTAGCTCATCTCTCATCCATGATCCCGCCGATGTGAGAGATAAACTGATGAATTAAGACATTAAAAACAATTTGTTATCGGATAGGTTCATTATAACTTTGAGTGATTTCAACGGGTGGCCGTCGCCCTATTTTTCGTATAGTCTGCGCGCTAATTGTGTCTACTGGGTGCTATGTGGGCGCTTAATGTCCGTGTATGGCTGAATAAATTCATGAATAGTTAAGTATTCACGGCCAAGCAGAACATCCTGAGAGGACTTCTAATTATGGCTTACCATGAAGCTGCCAAGCCCACCCCATCCCGCCCATCGAGGCGGGCGGCGGGCACTGCGGCGGGCCAATCCCTCTATCGAGGTCGTGGGAATCCCACTATCCGCGACGCTATCCCACTATGGAGGCTCCATCCCACTATCGATGCTCTATCCCACTATCCAGTATTTCAGGTACCAATCCCATCAACACTAAACTCGTCGTTACTCGCCCTTTTGGCCGGCTGCAACGAGAGGCAGACCGGATATCAGCATCCAGAGGAACCCAGAGCTTCTTTGGAAGTTGTTTGCTTTCTTTTTGGAAGATGGGTCGCTTCGCAGCAAGCAGACAACTTGAAGCTGGAGAGAGCCTGGAAGGACACCCGGAAAGCTTTGAAAAAGAACAAGCACTACTGGATTCTTCTCGAAGCAGAAGTTGATGCCAAGATGCGCGAGGAGGAGGAGGTAGTGGGTAGCTAGCAGCAAAGCTGGGTGGTGGTTAGCAACAGAGCTGGGGCGGCGAACATTCTCCCTTGTGATCAACTATACTCGTAGTCTCGGCAAACCAAAGTACGATTCATTGAAGATAAATACAACACAGCGATACAATATAGAACCTTGCAAGTTCGCAACCGCGACGCTCTGGATTCATACGATAGACAATGAACCACTGATGTTCATCACACGCCGATTCTTGGAGGGATGACCGTCCCATTCGTGTCCATCCCCATCCTGAGCATCGGCACTTCTCTTCACCCCCCCGATCAGAGCGTATGCAGAAACCTGGGCTGTGTTGTTGACTGACGCCGGCTCGGAGGCATGCTCCTCTTGAGACGACGGCATCTCAGGCGATGAGCTTGCGCTCGACAAGTCGAGATCAGATGATGAACTCGCGCTCGACGAGTCGAGATCAGATGTGTCACCGTCGACACACGAGCCCACGGGGTTGACTTTGAGCTCCGACGTGGCAACATGGATAGCCATATCCATAGGTTCCGCGGCATTGCTTTGGCCCGGTGTTGCGTGAACAGGTTCCGCTTTCGGCTGAGCCTCGACAGTATCGGATTCGTACCACTCGCGAAGAGAGGGCCGAAGCTGCGGGGATGGGTCCATCAACCGTCTCGCGTACTCTTTGAGACCAGGGACATGCTCAAAGTAGAAAAGAAGGAACGTCAGGAAGCTTTGGCCGCACAAGTACCTATCAGCAAGAAAGGGATCATACGGCCTTGCTAGGTGCTTGTCCTCTTCTGCGTCCTCGTCTTCACGTTCAATCTCCGGAGCCATCCAAGGAAAGGTTCCGACATAGTCTGTGCATACGGGAGAGTCGCGCGAGACTTCAACGGCGACATCGAAATCAATGATCTGAAGACAGAACTCATAGGTGAAGACCATGTTGTCGGGTTTGATGTCGAGACGGGCGATCCAATGATCGTGCAGGAACGTGACGCCCTTCGCGAGACCGACGGTCAGCTTGTGAAGCTGGGTTTTCAGGACGCTGGAGGTAAACGTTTTAGATTCCAGTTCCCTCCGGATGGGCTGTCGCATCGGGAGAACGATGCATTTGCCCACACTCGCGTCTATCGAATCGATCAACTGGATGATATGCTCAGAGCGAGGGGTGAAGGAGTTGAGCTTCTCGAGGAGGAGGAGCTCCTCCTTGCAGCGAAGCTTCTTCGCGACATATAGCGTACCGCTGGGGTCCGAAATCTTCCGAACCGGAAAGATGGATCTTGGTCTCTGTTGAGTGGGACTCCATTTTTAGACGCAAAACGAAGACGATATATGGGACAGCTCATACCCCGTGTGTGCCGAAATCGAAATCGAAAGACGGCACCAAAACATACTGCTCGGTCGTAAACGCCTGGTCCTGGTTACCTCCCGATCCGCCACCGGGTAGAGGCTTCTGGCCGCCACCGGCCTTCTTCTGCTTTGAGGGACCTTGTGCATGATCTTGGTCCTCATTAGGACGTTTTGTCGATGTTAATGTCGGAAGTTTCGGGACACCCTCAAAGAAAGCTCCAAGTAGCTCGCGCGAAGGCTTGTTCTCATCGATCAAGAGATCGACGTAATTGTAGAGCACTTGCATGAAAGCCTGGCATCGGAGGACCACGGAGAGCGTGAATTGTTCCTCCACATTTTTGACTTTCGAATGGACCTGTGCGATCATTAGACTCAACCGTACCATAAGCACTGCAAGTTGCCTTACGTCCGCAGGGTCTTCTTGGAAGAGATAGTAGAGTTTCGCTAGGCTGCTTCCTGACACATGGAAGGCGACGACGACAGCGCTCCCTGCAAGATCTTGCATCTTCATCTTCTTAGCGTTTGCGTTTGCAAGGCGCACGTGGTATGCTCCCTCGCAAAGCGCACCGATATAATCGTCGTCGCCGTTTCCAGACTGAATTTCCGCCAAAAGCAGGACATGCGTGTTCCTCCACCACGAGACGTCGCTCTTGGGATTGTACTTGCGAAATGTTTTGATTCCCTCGGTAACGACTTGGACAGGCACTCCCGATCGAAGCGGCCACGCTTTCGAGCCGCTAGAGGACGAAAGATCAGAGTACACCGTGTGAGAATGTGTTTAGATGACACTTACAACTTCATATCCAGGAGGACACCCTCTTTTATTGCCGCCCTTTTCAAACACATATACTCCAACAGAGGAGCGAACAGCCTCGCGACCACAATCTGCTCCCTGCCGCTCGCAAGAACATCTGCCTCTCATGTGCATAAATCAAGTTGCCCCACATCGGTCATCTCCCTCAGCTTCCACTTCCGAACTTTGTCGGCAGCCTCGGGTGCCTCGCAATCGTTGAAGTGATCTTTCAAATTGCACCACTTAAAGAGAGCTCTTAGATCGCCCGAGTCCATAAAGGGCGCGCCGGAGCGCGGATTCTGCGAGTGTCTCAGTTTTGCTCCAACCAGTCAGGTATGGGTGTACACACACATCGTCTTTCCAATGCCGATGCTTATGCAGCTTGTCGAGCAGAACCTTCACGTTTTCTGGTTGCCTTTGCGTTAGACCTTCTAGGAACACGCGGTTCAGCTCCAAGTCTTCCTGTGCGTAAGCATTGTTCTTCGTCCTCCGAATGAAGACACCCCCATACGATTCCTTAGGCATTTTATCTGGACAGCGTGAGGGGGGGAAGGCAAAAACGAGCGATACCACGGAACGCACCCATGCCGGAACTACCGAGTGACGATGGAGTGGTTGACGGTTCTATCTGCAAGTTAGATCTCCATCTTTCGGTTTGAACGACGACTTACTGGGTTCTGTTGCAGCGTGTTCCAACGGTCAGAATGTCTGCTTTGTCGGAGAAGGCGGACACGCACCAGGCTTCTGCACGAACAGTACCTCTTCTTTCGAAAGCTTTAGATTTGCTATCGTCTCCCTCACATGAAGTACTTTGAGTTTCTGATTGGAGAAGGCCTCGTTGACTTGATCCTTCAACGTTTTGGGGTCTTCATCATCAAAAGTAATGGTCGGGTCGACGCATTTCTACACTACGAGCTCATTGACAGCGATGCTGTCAAGGGCAGGCTGAAAATGTGCCTTGACCTTGTTCCTCAAGTGGTCCACCGTGTCCATGGAAGATACAGGGACTGCAGAGGGTGTTCCGATGGGCTCCTTCTCGTGATTGATGAGGAGGCACCAGATGTCCATTAATGTGGCCATGGTGGAAGTGTATTTTTTTTTTTTTTCACGAAGCGAACACGGAGCGCATCCTC